TTCTAAACTATGAAATTTTGTTAAGATTCTACCATGATCTAACTGATGTCCTATTATTTTACGGTCTCCATAATCCCTTAAATTAATGCTGTTGTAATATGGACAAAATTATAAATATGATTGAAACGTGTGATATGTTAAGTGATTATTACTAGAAATTTATTGTAACTCAGATGTAGTTCTAGTAGAACCGATCAGCTGTCTTTTGCAAAACACCTTCCTCTTGGTTTTCATAGCAATACCTCTTTTTACTGGCTCAAGATAATTTTCTTATTTTAACTTCCTCAATATATCTTAAACCAAGCCTAGCAAGAGAAAATAAAAGGATGGAGTTTAATTAGAAAGTTCAGCTTTGTCCTATCCAACCCTGCTCTATCCTTCCAGGCTAGACACTGAAGTGCTGCAGTGAACCTTGCCTACCTACACTTCTTAGTTCAGATACGTGTTCATTGGTTTGTTTCGTAATACACCTATAATTAGCTGATAAACTTGATGCATTATGAACTTTTTCTGATACATTTTAAGATGAATTTTGGTTTGATTTAGAAGGAAGGATAATTTAGTAGTATGAATTTCACAATAGCTGATCAGAGCTGCACATATGTATAGTGTTTTAGAAGAGAAAAGTCTGATTAAATTCCTGATATATATGTATGAGTTAGTGATGTGTTTGTGAACCTCTGGAATTGTTTTTTGAATGTATGCTCATTTGTATTTCAGGAAGACTTCTTAGATCTGACAGTAACGGTTAAAAATGTATCTGGTTTGGAAGAGGCACTTTGGAACATGTATGTGGAGGAGGAAGTTTTTGACTGTGACAACTTGTACCACTGTGGGACTTGTGACAGGCTGGTCAAAGCTGTAAAGGTAAAGACAGATACTCTGCCTATTCCCAGGGTGCCCACTTAGTACCTCCTGCTCAGTATAGTGGAGCAGGTAAAGCTTTTGTATGAAAAAGTCTGGAAAGAATATACAGCAGACTCTTAACACTGTTAATTCTTAACAGGGGGCTTGAAAAGATGTTACTGTCATATTTTAATTGTAACCAAACCCACTGCCATCAAGTTAATTCCGACTCACAGTGCCCCTAGAGGACAGAGTAAACTGCAGAACTGCCTCATAGGGTTTCCAAGGCTGTAATCTTTACAGAAGCTGACTGCCTCGTCTTTCTCCCGCAGAGCAGCTAGTGGGTTTGAACTGCCAACCTTCAGGTGAGCAGTCAGATGTGTTAACCACTATACCACCAGAGCTCTTTTTTTTTTTTAATTATAGACATCTATATTTTATTTTTTACAATAAAGACGTTTTTAAAACTTTTAATCCAACAGTTCTTTCCTTCCAACTTCCTTCTCTTCTAGGAAAATTTTATTTCCTTCCCAGTGTTTACGTACGCCTTTTTAAAGAAACTCCTCTTACCTGTGTTTTTTGCAACAGTTTTGAGGAAGACAGTATAGCTCTTTATTTCTGACAGCCAAGAAATTTATTGATCTTTCTTTTTTTTTGTTGTTTTACTACTATGAAATTAGATGTCTTTTTCATTTTCTTAATAGACAGTTATTTTACAACATTAACATACGTCCTCTCTTGCTGTGGGAGCTCTGGTGGCATAGTGCCTAAGGCACTTGACTGCAAACCAGAAGGCTGGAGGTTCAAACCCACTAGCCACTCTTCAGAAGGAAGGTTGGGCAATCTACTTCCATAGTGATACTGCCTCGGAAACCCAAGGAGGGGTCGCTATGAGTTGGATCCAGCTTGATGGCAGTGTTTTTTCTTTTTTTTAATCTCTCTTGCTGCAACAAATCTGACATACCCTTCCCTCTCCCCCTGGTTGGGAATGCGTAAGTTGCTAATCAAGGACTTTCTAGAACACATCTGCTTTTCTTTCCGTGCAGTGGAGCAAGATACAGGAGGACAGGAGGAAAAGACATAAGCAAGTGGTGTCTTTTCTAAGCAAGAGCCAAGAGAAAAAGCACCACAAAGCAGTGGACAGGGCATTCCGATGCTTCTTAGATTTGGTCATCAGATTCATTTGGACAGCCATTCCTGTCCCTGTAATTCAGGGTTCATATTTGAGAGTCCAGCAAAGAGGATAAGCTTTGAGAAGAAGAAACGAGAGGCAGCTACTGTTCTCAGGCATCGGGAGATTTGCGCTCTGTCCCTTCAGGCTGGGGCAGGGACATAGGGAATCAGCACCTTGGCTGTGTTGAGAACCTGCTGCCAGGTTATGTTTACGATGTTTCATGTTTGGATGTAAGGTCTCAGGGCTTCACTCTTGGGATCCAGGGATTCTTACCTCCTTGTTCTTCACAGGGTCTGGGATCTGAGTACTTTTATTCATAGAACAGATTTTAGACAAGCATTCTTGAGGACATTTTTTCTTTCACCTTGTCTTCTAGCAGCCAATCATTTCTGCTCTTTGCTCACTGTTCTTTCACGGTTCAACGTGATTTCTCACTGGGGAATTGTTTTTAATGTGCTATTCACTCAATTGCTCAGTTTTCACCAAAACCATTAAAATCATTACTAATGCTGCTAGCTTGCTAAGTACTAATAATTCTTTGAAACATTAACTTAGTGATGATTGAAGATAATCTGTAAATGTGTAAGTGTGTGGGAGTATATGCAAATACATATTTACATGTGCATTTATTAATGCCCTTTCCTGGTCCTCTGGCCTGGCTTTGCCACCTGTAACCATCTCCAGCCTTCTTCTTCAGCAACTTATATCTATGGCCAGGACAAAATGGACTACTGCCATTGTTATTAACTGCAATAGTGACTATTCCCACTGCTGGTAGAGGATGACAATGGGCTAGTTATAAACTCCCTGAGCTTGAACTCATTCAGTGGTCATAGAGTGCTGTCTGAAAGAGCTACCACCCAGGCCGTGACTATGCAGTTCTCCTTTGTGCCAGAGAGACAGCACTATCTGTCAGTAAGCAAATGGGCGTTGATTGAGATAACACACAATATTGATTTTGTATCTTAAGAGATTGTGGGTGAAAGGTAATATAAGCAATCAATCCTAAGCCTGTCGTTTTCACAGTTGGATTTAAAACCAGGCTGAATCTTGTCCTAAACCAAGGGGGAAAAAAAAAAAAAATCCACTGCCATTGAGTTGATTCTGCCTCATAGTGACCTCCATTGGGTTTCCAAGGCAGTAAATCTTTACGGAAATAGATTGCCCATCTTCCTTCTGTGGAACAGACTGTGGGTTTGGAATGCCAGCCTGCTGTTTAGCAGTCAGATGCCTTAGGCACTGTACCACCAGAGCTCCTTGAATCTTGTCTTCCTGGTGTGTATTTTTTCATTCAGCCTTGGCCCGTTTTTGAAGCCAAAAAAAAAAAAGGCTTATTATTTGCTTGTTTATGTCACATTATACCTTTTGTGATTAACTGTAATCTAATAAATAAACTTCTGAAACTGGAAAAGTCTTAACCTGTTTCTTGGTTTTTGGTTGAACTTAATTTGCATATATATTAGTCAAAACAAGAACCTTTTGCTAACCAAAAGCATTTCTTTCATATGGCTTTTATATCATCATTGGTTTCATTCTTGTTCAGTAGGAAATTTTTTATCTTGATGACTTTAAAATTGCACCCTATTGCATCTCAGCAGAGGGTTCGGTTGTATAAATGCAGATTTCCCGTCCTTTCTCAGACATGCTGCAGTTGAGTTGCTCAGTTTTTTAGATGCATTTTTAGAGCTTATTCAAAAGGTTCCCGTGCTGTTATTTTGCGGTTTCATCTTTTAACTTCACTCAACCCCATCCCACGATTTCTGGAATTTTAAGAAATACATTTTCAGAGGAGCTCTGGTGGCATAGTGCCTAAGGCATTTGAGTGCTAACGAGAAGGCTGGCGGTTCAAATGCACCAGCCACTCTTTGGAAGGAAGGTTGGGCAATCCACTTTCGTAGTGATACTGCCTCAGAAACCCAAGGAGGGGTCGCTATGAGTCAGATCCGACTCCACGGCAGTGAGTTTGGTTTGGTTTGGTTTAGATACATAAGATTATGGATTTTCCCCCTCATGGGCCATTAATCCAAAGGAATTGGGAAGGCTGAGGACTCCAGTAAAAAGCCGCTTAAATTAGTGTGCTGTGTTAAAGCAAGGAACATCTTGCTTTAAACAAGATTTTAAAAAAATTATTTGCTTGAAGCAAAGTAGCATCTTCTGGTATCTCACTCTCGGGGGCTGGCTCTCAGCCCAACAGTAAACAAGATGTACGAGCAGACCACTCAACCCAGGGTGATGCACCCACATACTCTATGGAGATGGATCCATTGGAGCAATCCACCACAGGGCACCAGAGGGGCAACATTCACACAGAGGAAATGCAGAACACGCAGGAGTGCATAACTATGGGCGGGGTTACTGGGCGAGGCGGGGAGGAGACTGGGTTAGGGCTGGGGATGGTAAATGGGGAGAGAAACTAAAGGTACCTGAAATGTTGAATGGAAAACAAACTCTGCTCTATAAACCTGCACCGAAAGCACAATTAAAAAAAAAAAAAAAAGTATCTTCCTAGCTGCTTTTAAATTTAAGAGCAGTGACTGCAAAGCTCCCCAAAGTGGATCTTGGTGCTTGGGGAGTTAGATCCCTTTTTAACCTCTACTGTACCATATGGATCATCCCCCCAGGAAAATACATCGTATACATAATACTTTCATGTAATTTCAGGGGTTCAGAGCCTTTGAAACAGGTTCTTGGGTCCCAGGGTAGGAGTGCCAGTTCTTCAGTAAATAAAGAGGTAGTTCAAACTCATCAGCCACTCCATGGAAGGAAGACGGGACAATCTACGTCCATAAAGATTGACCACCTCAGAAACTCAAAGGGGGTCGCTATGAATTGGAATTGACTTGATGACAATGAGTTAGGTTGTTTTTTTTGAGGGGGGGGGAAGTTTTAGGTTCCTGTAAAGGAGCTCTGGTGGTGCAGTGCCTGAGGCATTTGACTGCTAAACAGAAGGTTGGTGGTTCAATCCTACCAGCCACTCTGCGGAAGGAAAGCTGGGCAATCTACTTCCGTAAAGACTTACTGCCTTGGAAACCCAAAGGGGGTCGCTCTGAGTCGGGATTGACTCAGTGGCAGTGAGTTTTTTTTTTGTTTTGTTTTGTTTGTTTTTTTGGTTTAGGCTCTTATAGGTGAAGTGGAGGAGCTCTGGTAGCCTAGAGCCTAAGGCACTTGACTGCTAACCAGAAGGCTGGTGGTTCAAACCCACCAGCCACTCCTCGGAAAGAAAGTTAAGTAATCTACTTCCATAGTGATACTGCCTTGGAAACCTAAGGAGGGGTCGCTATGAGTTGGGTCCAATTTGACGGCACATAAGAACAACAACAGGTGAAGTGGAGGCACCAAGGAAGCAGATGAAAGGCTCAGGCTTGGGAAGGATGTCGGCCCAGGGGAGAGAGATGAGCACCCGTTCTAATGTTGTTTTAGCATTAAATGGTGCTCATCAAATGGTGTTTTAGCAAGTCAGCGCTGAAACCTAAGACTGGGAAGTCAGTTTTGGTTGTAAGCCTAAATGAGGGACACCAACTTTGGTCTCATAAGATGATGAGTTTATATCAAGAGCCACGTTGAATCCACAGCAACGAATCCATATCTTTCAAGATGTGTCTTGCAAAAATGTATCATAGATTTCTTTTTCATATCTTAAGAAATGTCACGTTTTCTTTATGTGTAGCTTGGCTTTTAAAAACTGTTTTTAAATTTCTTTTAACAGTCTGCGAAATTATGTAAGCTGCCTCCCTTTCTTACGGTTTCATTATTAAGATTTAATTTTGATTTTGTGAAGCGTGAACGATACAAGGAAACCAGCTGCTACACATTCCCTCTCCGCATCGATCTCAAGCCTTTCTGTGAACAGGTTTGATACTCTTCTTTGAAATCCCTCCTTCCCTGTTCCAAGAGAGAGTCTTTTTATTGACCTCATTTTCCGTAGCTTTGTCCCAGATTTCTCACCTGGCACTGTTAATGCTTGGAGTCACCGCTTGGAGTCGGTGACATGAGGTGGGGGGTGTCCTGTGCATTGTACATGTTTAGCAGCACTTCTTGTCTCTGCCTGCTAGATCCCAGTAGCACCCCACCCCCATGTCCACCCCCACAGTGTGACTACCAAAACTGTCCTTGCCAGAGGTCTCCTGGGTGGGTGATGAGGGGAAGGGAGGCAGATTCTCCAGATGAGACCACTGGTTTGTTAGGGTCCCTTTGAATCTCCAAAATACAGATTTGTTCCCAGTTCTCTTTGTTAATGCTTCTTGAAAACTCTTTGAAGTGAAATTTTAAAAACAAAATTAGAAAATGCCCCTGCATTGGGGGAGGTTGTCATTGGCTGGTACTTACCTGTTCGGTTTCAGTTTATTTTACATGTAATAATGAACTGTGCCTCCAGAAGGGGTGCGTACAGCTAGGACTGCACTGGTCTGGAACTTGTGCTGCTGAAGACATTGGAAGAACAGTTCTAAAAACAGTTAGATCACATAGGAACCTTGTTTATAAGCCATTTTCAGTACAGTTACTGTACATGCCAAGATCAAGGTGATGAGATGGATGTATTTATTACAAAACATTTTTATATGTTTATAAAAAACAAAATTGCTAGCTAGTTATGGGGTATCTGAGTATAAAAGTAATCTTTTGTTTGTAAACACTTTAAAATTCAAACTCTTCACAGGTGTTCCTTCCTCTGCTTCACACCTACTTCCTGAGCTTTTTGTCTTTTTGTTTTCTCACACGCATATACCGCATATACCGTTCAGAGGTTCTGACATGCTTCTGAGCCTGCCACTGACAAATGTAAAATAAAGCAGGCATGCTAGAAGTTAATATACTTGCCAGCCCCCCATGGACTGGCTGAAATTTTGTTTGTCCTTTTTTTGTCAAGTGATTTTCATATACTTTGAAATAACAAGAGTGAGACAAGTTAAAAAAAAAAATGGAGCACTTACCTAGGAAACTGTTACATTCATTTTACTTTTTGACTTCCGTGTTAATGACAAAAATCATGTCTCTTAGCATCTTTGTGTACATCTCTCTTGTCTTTTCTCTGTATCTCAACTAACTCACTGCTATAGAGTCGGTTCCGACTTGTAGCGCCCCTTCCTTGGGTTTCCAAGGTGGTATCTCTATGGAAATAGATTGCCCCGTCTTCCTTCCGAGGCATTTCAAAACTTTTTTAGGCAGTTAAGTTCCTCAAATGACTGGTCTCCCCCTCAGGTGGCATCCTTATGTAAAGTTAGCATTCCAGCTGAGCACTGAAGGAACTTAGAAAGAAAAATAAGAGTCACAGCTGGAGCTAGGAGAGAGCTTACATTGGATGGTTCAAACCCCTCCCCTCGGATGTGAAAACTAAGGCTTCCTTTCTCTCCTACTTCAGGAATTTAAATAAACATCTTTAAAGTGTCTTTTAATCTAATCTACCCAGTGCTGCTATAGTGACCCTATAGGACAAAGCAGAACTGCCCCAAAGGGTTTTCAAGGCTGTCAGTCTTTACAGGAGCAGCTGCCTCATTTTCCTGTGGAGCGGCCGGTGGGTTTGAACCACTGACTTTCTGTTTAGTAGTTAAGTGTTTTAACCACTGCACCACCAGGACTTTTTGGTATTAGATCAGTGATAGATAATTGTCTAAAACTAAAAAATTTTCATTGAAAGCTAATTATTCATTTTAATTTTATCCTTCAGTAATTATGATGGTGAACTATCTTACTTATTTCAGTAGTTGAAATTTCTCCCCATTTATTATCTGTGTTACTGTTTTATGTAAATTACATCAGTGTTTATATCCTTTTTCCTTTTAGAGTGAATTGGATGACTCAGAATACATATACGACCTCTTCTCTGTTATTATACACAAAGGTGGCTGCTACGGGGGACATTACCATGTGTATATTAAAGATGTTGATCACTTGGGAAACTGGCAATTTCAAGTAAGTATAGAAATGAGTTTAGAAGTATCTTTATGGTTTCTTTGCTTTACCTATTCTGGTGAAGATCGTCTTTTGTCATTTATTATATGGTTACTCTGTAGAAAACGTTGATAGGCACTGAAAGTTGGGTATAAGTTGCAACTTTTTATTTCTAAAATTTCTCACAGAAAAATTAGTAGAATCGTAATACAAACCTCCTGTAGTCCTTTCACCCAGATTCTGCAGTTATTAGCATCTGCCACATGTGTGTGTATTGTGTGCGCAGTGTATGTGTTCTGTGTGCGTGTTCATTGTTTATCACTGTTATTTAAGGGTAAATTAAAATGAATGTGGTGTAGTGCCTAAGGCATTTGACTGCTAACTGGAAGGCTGGTGGTTCATACCCACCAGCCACTCCTCAGAAGGAAGATTGGGTGATCAACTTCCCTAGTGAGACTACCTCGGAAACCCAAAGAGGGGTTGCTATGAGTTGGATCTGACTCAGCAGCAGTGAGTTTGGTTTATCATTTTTGCAGATACCAACCATTATATGAATCAAATTCTGCCTCTTAAACATGGATCTGAAAAAGATGTTATTTGTGTGTATTTTGATTGGCGCACACATTATTAACATATCATTATTCACACTGTCATCTGAATGAGTTGAAATTAATTGACTTGCCCCTGAATACATCAGTGTGTGTCTGTCTCCTGGAAACAAGGACATTCTCTTACATAACGATGGGTCATACTCAGGAGCTTTACTGTTGGTGTAGTATCATCAGGTAACGTTTACTTTCTGTTCACGTTTCACCAGTTGTCCCATCCATACCCTTTGTGACAATGTTTCCGTCACTCCAGTGTCACGTCCAAGGTCCTGTCATGAATTGTATTTAGTTAGCATCTCTTAGGTCTCCTGTAATCTCAACAGTCCCTTGGCTTTTCTTTTGTCATTCGTGGCACTGACTCCAAGATGATAAAGATTTTTCTCCTATATGTTGTTCTAACAGTTTTTATAGTTTTACGTTTAAAACATGAGTCTTCCTGGGACGGTTTCTTACGAGTGATGTCATACTAGATTTTGCGTTAGAGTACCAGTTGCTCCTGACCATTTATTGAATAATCTGTTCTCTCTCCACCAAGCTGTGGTGCCTCTTCTGTTAGAGCAGCTGCTCGTTGATGCATGTGTCTTTTTCAGCTCTCTGTTGTGTTCCAGTTCTCTGTCTTCTGTTCCTGGGCAAGTGCCACATTGCTCATTTCTGTAGCTTTCTAACAAGTTATGCTGCTGGTGGGGCATGTCCCCCTGCTTGTTGTTATTCCTCAGAAATGTCCTGCCTGCCTTGGCTTTTTATTCTTCTGGGTGCATTTCTAGCATCAGTTTGTCAATTTACAAACACACACACACACACACACACACACACACCCAAATAGTAGGGATTTAAGTCTTCATATGTAAATGAGATATATTTTTTCATTTTTGTAGAGTATCTTTAATTTCTTCCAAAAAAATTTTATAATTTTCTCAAAATAGAAATTACTTATGTTCTGAGGAAAAGCTATAATTAGGTGTCTAGTTCATATTATGTTAAACAGGAAAATTATTACGCATTGCACATCAACCCCAAACCCTCAACAAATTTTCTAAAATTTAACTAAAACACACTAAACATGTATGTAAGTCACAGACCATCGTGTGAGCATGTAAAACTCCTGAAATACACCTTCCTGCTCCTGACGCAGCTAATGATGTTGTCAGTGAATAGCTGTGTCACACGTCGTAATAAGGCTTCTTTTCTCAGCACCAGCAGCATCCAAGATGCGTGTCTCTTTGTTGACATCAGTTGGCTTTTCAGAGCACCTATCAGTGCTTCTGCCCTTCTGTAAGCTGTATTTGAACTATATTGAGAGATATGTTTTGTAAAGTTTGGATATTTGAAAACTCAAAACCATATTTTACCAGAAAGATGTTGTGTGGGAGTGTGCATGTCCTTTTTAGCTATCAGTGCCTGGGGTATTGAAGTGCATTTGCCTTATTACATTGATTTTTATAGCCGAGAACCTTGCTAAACCTCTTGGGTTATAGACATCTGGAAAATGCAGCTGTTTCACCCTTTCCAGTCCTTTGCCTTCCATTTCTAATATTTATTTACTGCAGTAGCTGGAACACCAGTTCAAGGTTGAGAAAGTAATAACCTGGACAAGCATTCCTCTCAAATGCTTATGCCATGTTTGCCAGGACGGTAGGTTGTTGAGCATGTTCTCAGTCTGGCGGCGTGAATATCATCACATGGTCTAACTCAGCCTCAAGTGTTTCCAGGCTTAGTTTGGGCAGATCCTTGTGTATAGTAGCAGCATCAGAACTTGTCTAGATTCCTTAGTGATAAGAACCAGGATCAGCCCAAAGCTGATTCCCATGAGGAAGAAGTTAGACATACCTCCACTCTCCAGCCTTTTCACTAATTCTGACATCAGCCATCCCTCCCACAGCACTTTGCTTCTCTCCTGGGTTCAGTAATCCATTGCAGTGAGCACCCAGAACTCCCAGACCATACTTACAGTTAAGTGATTTATTAAGGAACAGGGTACAATTGGAATCAAGATCTGAAAGCATACTGTGGTCTGGGAGGTTCCCTCGAAGAGTAGAGCACATCCCTCCCTTGTTCAGTGCATTACAGCTCTCTCAGCTCTCCTGGGCCCTGCAGGCAGAAAGCCCTTCTGTTGGCCGTGCATCGCCCCTCTTGCTATTCAGGCCTCCTCTTGGCTCCCTGGGGACAGGCCTTCTCTCCACCTGCTCAAGATGAGCCTCTTACTGGCTCCATCAGGACAGGTCTCCAATTAGCTGCACAGGCCTTTCTGCCCTTGACCTCCCTGCTGTCAGCTTCTCCACTGCTACTAGGCCCAGCTCACAGCCAGCATAGCAGTCTGCTCAGCTCTCTCAGCTGCGTTCCTAGAAGCAGGTTTCTGCCATCAACACTGGCTCTGCCTCTGGGCCCCTTCTGGTCCTTCTCGCTGCTGGCTCTGCCGCTGGGCCCCTTCTAGGCATGTCCCTGCTGGCTGTGCTGCTGGACCACTTTACGGCCTCTTGCTGTCTTCACTGTTACAATTAACCCAAGTTACACCTTTTTCATGAAGTTTCTTGCTTGCCCCCACTCTTTCTGCTGCTTCTCTCTCATTTGTCTGTCTTGCTCTACCTGAATCCTCTTTGAAGCTGGCCGCATGTCTGTCAGTCTCTTTGTCAATTTCAGTATATTTTGCATAGTGCATTGACCAATCCCTGCAAGGAGCATACCAGTCACAGGGCAGGCTGCAGCCTGTGGCCAGACAGTAAGTATCAAACTGTGAAATTGCTAATAGTTTACACAGGAACTATCTATCCAACTGGAGAAAAGTAATTAACCCCTGGAGTGGAAAACTAGGGCAAAAGTAACTCTCCTTGGAGCTTAAGGGACAAATCTCTCAAGCCAGTTTTATAAAGAACTCAGGCAAAAAGCCACATAAAGGGACTCATTTCACCACACTTAAGATGTTGCCTTCCTTCAAACTGCTTTCTTGCATTTTTCAGTTTCTGTAATATAAATTCTTAGTTTCTAGAGTGGAAATAGGACACAAGAAGTAATGAAGCTGAGCCTACAAACATGAGTTAGATTTCATTAGGCCAACACAGCAGTGAGAACAAAGTGAGTGAAGACTAGCAAGCACTCTGAACTGAATGATAGTGAAGACCCAACCTACCGAAACTTAGGGAGTGTGGAGTGCCGCTGAGGCAGGGCCCAGCAGGGAGAATGCCGAAACCCTCTGTGCTGCGCATTGTGCGGGCCCCTTTCCTGTCGCACAGGCCCAGTTTACGGCTACAGCAATTAAGTGGTCCACTCACCTGGTGGAATTCCAAGTCAGGTCTGCCTGATTGTAAAGAAGATACAAATTCTTAGCATGTCTTTACTCCCACTTCTCCATGGTGGGTTCTTGCTGGCGTGGATGTTGCTCTCTCATGACTGACCTTTTTACTTTACAGGTTGGTATAGAAACACTCTGATAATTTTCTTTCCCAGGAGGAAGAAGGGGAGCCAGATGTGAATTTGCAGGATCTTCCAAATGGAGAAGAGATCGAAGACCCACTGATGGTCCTTCAGGCAATCTTATCACAGGTAGTGTGTGTGTGTGCATATTTGTGTGTAAGTAGAGAATTATGGTGCTCTAGGGAGCTCTGGTGGCGTAGTGCCTAAGGCACTTGACTGCTAACCTGAAGGCTGGAGGTTCAAACCCACCAGCCACTCCTCGGAAGGAAGGTTGGGCAATCTACTTCCGTAGAGATACTGCCTCAGAAACCCAAGGAGGGGTCACTATGAGTTGGGATCGACTTCACGGCAGTGAGTTTGGTTTTTTGGTTTTGGTGGGCATAAGATCAGTCTTTTGAATCAACAATACATATTAAATGAGCTGTTTTCATAGCTTTGGTGATAGAATTCTTGATTCCATGTGAGAGACCCGGCTTCAGCTCCTGGCAGTGTACCTCATGCTCAGCCAGCACCCATCCATCCGTGGAGGTTTGCATGTTCCTCGTATGCTGAAGGATGGAGCTCAGAGCCTTGAGGGAGTAATGGTTAAGTGTTTGGCTACTAACTGAAAGGTCAGCAGTCAGGTTCAAACCCACCAGCAGCTCCTCAGAAGAAAAGACCTGGTAATCTGCTCCCATGAAGGTGACAGCCTAGGAGACCCTGTGGAACAGTTCTGGTCTGTCCTGGCAGGTTGCTTTGAGTTGGAATTGATGGCACACAATGACTTGGTGCTGATGTGGTTTCAGCACCGCTTTCAAAGTAAGACAATCTACTTGTAAAAATCACTTGTGAGAAGCAGATCACAGCATCCGAGCTGTGGCCAGTCAGGGGGATGGCACAGGCCCAGGCAGTGTCTTGTGTCTTTGTGCATAGAGTCCCTGTGAGTCAGTGGGCAACTTGACAGCAGCTAACAACAACAACAAGGTGTTTTTAATCAGAAGCACACTTAAAACAAGATGGTGTATTCTCTTGATGAAAATGTGACCAGAGGCTTGCAAGAACCTAACCTGTATTTCCTCGGGGAGCATGGTTCAAGATTTGCTAATTGAGTGTTTGTGGTGACATTACAGGACAGAACTGTTGTGACCATGAGAATCAACTGTATTCTTTGTATTGTGTTTTCTTTGTGTTTATAAACATCTGTTGGGATTGAGTGATAATTGTTTTGGTTCTTGTTACTGTTATTTTAAACAGAATTGGCATTTATTGCTCATACTATGCAGTTCACTGTTTTTCTATATGATCCTCTTAATGTCTGTAGGACCTGAAATTTTGTCCTCTTATTTATTCCTGATATTGATATCTTAGGTATGTGACTTTTAATGTTGCCTGTAAATGTCTCACGTACTTTGGACATGTGATCAGGAGGGACCTGTGCCTGGGGAGCAGAAGCATGCTTGGTAAAGTAGAGGGTCGGTGAAAAAGAGGATGACCCTCCACAAGATGGAATGACACCATGGCTGCAACAGTGGGCTCACATGTAGCAAAGACAGTGAGGATGGTGCAGGACTGGGCACTGTTTCATTCTGTTGTGCACAGGGTCGTTAAGAGAACTGACTGAGTGACATCTAACAAAAACTGCAGCAATGTAGCCCTGGTGTAAGGATGTTAACTCTCCACTCATTTCTTTATTCATTCTTCATGAACAATTTTCATACTTCCTGCCAGGGACCTAGGAGTCCCTGGGTGTGCAAATGGTTGCTCATTCAACTGCATCCAATTTTCTTCAATGACTGTTTCTTTCACAAGGAGGAGAGAAATCTCATTCCTGTTGATCAGCTGGGCCAGAAGCTCTTGAAAAAGATCGGTCTGTCATGGAACAAGAATTACAGAAAACAGTACGGACCACTGCGAAAGGTAATACGTGGGGTCACCATAGGAGGTACTCATTTGAGAAATCATTTTGTTAGGATCCCAGTAGCACAAATTCTGCAGAAGGTTATTTTAAATCAGTTAAAATAAAATCACTATTTCTGGTTAATAACTGGAATTCACCTGTTGAATAACTATAGATCATGGAGCCAGGAAGTAAATAACAAAGGGCACTCTTAGTCATAGCCAAAAAAAGAAAGAGTTGTCACAGAGTTCATGCCCTGAAGCTTACTGTTTAAAGTAAGCAGATCAAAGTTTCCTTGTATCTTTTTTGAGTGTGATATTTGCTGGGCTGTGTGGATTTGTCATTGTTTTATAAATATCCTTTGTAAATTTGAGGTTCCCTTGTATTTGTAGTTTACTAATACTTTTTAAAGGAGCTCTGGTAGCATAGTGCCTAAGGCACTTGACTGCTAACCAGAAGGCTGGCAGTTCAAACCCACCAGCCATTCCTCAGAAGGAAGGTTGGGCATTCCTACTTCGTAGTGATACTGCCTTGGAAACCCAAGGAGGGGTCGCTATGAATCGGGGCCAACTCGATGGCAAATAACAACATAATAACAATACTTTTTAATAGTGGTTGAATTTTATCAAATGCTTTTATTTTACTTTTTTGGCATATATTGATATGATTATGTAATTTTCTTCTCTTTTCTATTGATACATGATAAATTGAATTGCTTGATTTTTTTTTTTTTTTTTAATGTTAAGCCAGTCTTATATTCCTAGGGTAGGTCATTCTTGTTCTGTTTGAATGACTGCCTCTTAGTCTGTGTACAGACATGAATACAGTTAAGTGTTCTGAAATTCCCATTCTTTGCAGTGTTACCTATAATTTGTTATGATCCACATAGTTGAATGCTTTTGCATCATCAATAAAATACAGTATTCCAAGTGATACCATGGTTTGGGTCAGGCATACCTTAGTCCTCAATACAACATCTTTGCTTTTTAACACTTCGAAGAGCTCTTTTGCAGCAGATTTGCCCCGTGCAGTACATTGTTTGATTTCTTACTGCTGCTTGCATAAGCAGGAGCTCTGGTGACACAGTGGTTAAAACATTCAGCTGCCAACCAAAAAGTCAGTGGTTCAAATCCCCCAGCTGCTTCACAGAAGATAGATGAGGCAGTCTGCTTCCATAAATATCTACAGCCTTGAAAACCCTGTGGTGCAGTTCTGTTCCATCCTTTAGGGTTGCGGTGAGTCAAAATCAGTGTAGTAGCAGTGGGTTTGATTTGGTTTTGGTGCTTCTATGGGTGTTGATTTTAGATCTGTGTATAATGAAGTCCTTGACAACTTTAATATTTTTTCCATTTGTCATGATGTTGCTTTTTGGTCCAGTTGTGAGAATTTTTGTTTTCTCTACCTTGAGGTGTAATTTGTACTGAAGGTTGTAGTCTTTGATCTTCATTAGTAAGTACTGCAAGTCATCTTCACTTTCAGCAAGCAAGGTTGTATCATCTGCATATTCAGGTTGTTAATAAGTCTTCCTTCAATCATGATGCCATGTTCTTCTTCATATAGTCTTTCTTCTTGGATTATTTGCTCAGCATACACCTTTTTTTGTTTTAAAACATGTAGTATCCCCCTTTCTATTTGAACGGTTGCTTCTTGGTCTTTGTACAGGTTTCACATGAACACAATTAAGTGTTCTAGAATTCCCATTCTTTACAAAGTTATCCATAATTTGTTATGATCCACAAAATCAGATGTCTTTGGTGGTCAGTAAAACATGGGTAAATGTCTTTCTGGCATTCTCTACTTTCAGCCAGGCCCCATCTGACATGTGCAGTGACCTCCCTTGTCCCATGCCCTCTTCTCAGTCCAGCTTGCATTTCTGGCACTTCCCTGTTGACGTAATGCTACAGCTGGTTTTCAGTTGTCTTCAGCAGAGCTTTCCTTGCATGTATGTGAGTGATGTTGTTCAGTAACATCTGCCTTCTGTTGGATCAGCTTTCTTTGGAATGGGAACATGTATATGGATCTCTTCTAGTCATACAGCCAGGTAGCTGCCTTCCAAATTTCTTGGCATAGACAAGTGAGTGCTTCCAGCATTGCATCTGTTTGTTGAAACATTGCAGTTGGTATTCCATCAATTCCTAGAGCCTTGTTTTCTGCTAATGCCTTCAGTGCAGCTTGGGCTGCTTCCTTAAATGCCATCAGTTCTTGATCATATGCTGTTCTGGTTCCCTAGTGCTGCTCTGACAAGATTATACCATAAATGGGATGGTCTTAACAAACAGGAGTTTATTCTCTTACAGTTGGGAGGCTTTAAATCCAAGTTCAAAATGCCAAGCTCTAGGAGCTAGGTGAAAGCCCCACAACCTTGGGGTCCAGCTCTGCCTACTGCTCCTGGCCCACTGGAGCTAGAGGCATTTCTTCACTCAGACAGCAGCTGACTGCTGAGGCTGCCAAGCCCAAGGTTGACAAGTAAAAAGACACAGCCCCAATGTTACCAAACCACACAGCAGGCTATTAATTTAAGTCCATTTAAGTCCCAGGGTTGGCAGAGCATGGCAGGATGCTCAACAAAGACACGGCTACATGCAGAGCCCGAGCATGCCATAAGCTAGAGACCATTCCTAAGGCTTCTGCTTATATACAGGAAGCAGGCCACATTCCCAAAGGCAGCTACTCAGCTGCTCATAGTAGATTCTACCATGGAGTTGATTACCAGCCTCATCATGGGGAATACTACATCCAGCTGCCTAGCCACTTAGCCAGGCCCAGCCAAGTTGACACACAAACATAAGCACCACATATGCTGTCTCCTGAAGTGATTGAATGTTGACCAGTTCTTTATTGTACACTGACTCACTATTTATTCTCTCTTCCCTTCAGCTTCCTGCATCGTTCAACATCTTGTCCAAAGAATGTCTCAGTATTGCAACTCGAGGCTTGAATTTTTTCTTTATTTCTTTCAATTTGAGAGATGCTGCATGTGTTCTACCCTTTTGGTTTTCTAATTCCAAGTCTTAGCACATTTCATTATAATTTGTCTCCTTAAGCTACCTTTTGAAATCTTCTGTTCAGCTCTATTGTGTCATTTCTTCTGTTTGCTTTAGCTACTTTGTGAACTGGAGCAAGTTCCAGAATCTTCTGAAATCCATCTTGGTCTTTTCTTTTGTTCCTGTCTTTTCAGTTACCTTTTGCTTTTTTCGTGTGTGATGTCCTGATGTCATTCCACAGCTCATCTGGTCTTCAGTCATTAGTGTTCAGTGTGTCAAATCTGTTCTTAGACCCTACATTCTGATTATTAGTGGATGTTTGCAGCTGTTGTTTTCTCATTTTCGGTTGTACCACATCAGCAAATGAAGGTCACACAAGCTTTATTCCATCCCCTTCATTAAGGTTGACACTGCTTTGAGGAGGACACTCCTCTTTGTCATCTTTGGTGTTTTTCCAACCAGAGGGCTTATCCTCTGGCATTGTGTCAGACAACGTTCTGCTGTTAGCTGTAGGGTTTCATGGGCCAGTTTCTTTTTTGTTTCAGAAGTAGGTCTCCAGGTTCTTCTTCCTAGTCTGTCCAAGTCTGGAAGCTTGGCTGAAATCTGACCGCCATGTTGGTATTTGAAATACTGGGGCCTAGCTTCCATCATCACACAGCACACAGGCCACCACAGTGAGACGGACCGATAGGCAAGTGGTGGAAAACCAAACAGTAGTTTATCTTAACTGGTAAAGAAGGTCTGCTTTCAGCTTTCTCTTTGAAGGTCTGCATCTGTGACGTCCATCGAGAGCAGTACTGGGAAGGTCAGATAGGAAACTTAGGAGGCAGTGAGTTCATACTAACGTAGTTCACTCAGGAAAGGAGGGAGGGGATGGTCGCCCACCTCAGAGAACGGCACCCATGTCGTTGAGCTGGACGTGCAGAAGTCGTTGAATTGCTGTATGTTCTGTGTAGATTCTCAACAACAACAAAGCGTATTTTTAAAGAAGATTCTTTAGGCTTATAATTACTATTTTATGAATAACGTCTGGTCGATAGTTTTCGTATTGTCTTCTGTGTTGTGCTGTGATTCCTTCCATTTACAGTTGTTTAGATTTTCTTAAACATCTCAAAAGTGTTCTTCCTGAGCCGTGCCATCAAAGTACTACTTTAAGGCAGCATTATTGAGGTTTAATTAAAGGACTATCTGGATTGCTGCATGACAGCCTTCTCCCTTGATAGAATCTGAGTTTTATTAAATGTCTTATTATTCCCCAAATAGATTTTTTTTTTTCCCCTAGCTAGCCAGGCCAAGCAAAAATAAAGATGAAGTTAAAATATCTAATGTCAGAAGGAAGCGAGCATTTTCTCTTTGTCATAAGGGATTTAAAATTGTGTGCTCACCTGGTATTTATTGATATTCTGGTTTTGTTTCTGTATAGTTCCTACAGCTCCATCCACAGATATTTCTACTCAGTGCCGATGAAAGTACTGTGAGTCTCTCACAGAATTGTTTCCTCCAGCCCAAGTCGGACCCCCAAAGGAATGATGAACAAATTTTCCAGACACCGACTTCAGCATCCCCAGCGTTAGATGATACCATGTCCTGCCCCCACTGGTTTGATATAAATGATTCCAAAGTCCAGCCAATCAAGGAAAAGGATATTGAGCAGCAGTTTCAGGGTAAAGAAAGTGCCTATATGTTGTTTTATCGGAAATCCCGGTTGCAGAGACCCCCTGAAGGTATGGAAAGATAAATACCCCTGTTGCTTTAATTAAGTTCATTCATTAGCTTAAAATACAAACACTTCTGTGTTGAGAAGGTAAACATTCAGTGTTACGTGAATTTTTTTTCTTAGCATTTTTAAAGAGTGTTCACACTTAAAATACATGATCCCAACAAAATCCAACAGTCTATCATTTACAAAGATGGTATATTTCTACTTAATTTTTCCCCTGTAGTAATATGAATGTGGAATGATAGTTTCTGTCTTTACATGGACTTAGATTTTCAAAACTGGATTTTCTTGGATCAAATAGCATTTTCCCTTCTGGTAGGAACTTGAGTGTGACTGCCTTGCACCCAGGTTTGGCTCTATCAGACACCATCCTTGTGCACCTCTGAATTGTAAGAGGCCTTGGTCTTATCTTCTTGTCTTCTCTTTTCATTTTCCCCAAGGTCATGCTTGAGGGAAAATTCAGATTTCTATTCTCTGAGCAGTTGAAATATCCCTGAGCATTCTTTTTTGAGCCTTTGAAGCATTCTTTTTTTTTTTTATTACAATGGAAGTTAACTATTGAGACCCATTAATAAAGAATATTTTTGAGCCAGGCCACTAACATGAATCAGTAAGACTTTGATTACTTCCTGAAGTCTACCATAGTGCAGAATCCTGACTGGAAAAATTCCAGATTGAGAAATAACTGTGATTCAAAATAAGGATGTCACTTCTAGAGAATACTGGCATTTTTATAAAGAACAAGGGTAAAGCAGTTGGTAATATGCATGTGAATTCAAGAAATGAACACTCTGCATACGAAACAGTTACATCACTGTCCTATGAGCCAGGAAGGGCTCGGTGTTTTCATGGGGGAAGATGTGGTAATATTAGGTTCAGAAAAAGTGTCAAGTAACAGAATCTGCAGTTAGACAATATCAAGTCACAGAAAAAGAATAACTTCAGATAAGTATTAAACTGGATTGAATTTTACCATGAATATATTTAGGAGCTCTGGTGGCATAATGCCTAAGGCATTTGACTGCTAACCAGAGGCTGGCAGTTCAAACCCACCAGCCACTCCTCAGGAGGAAGAGTGAGCAATCTACTTCCGTAGAGATACCGCCTCAGAAACCCAAGGAGTGGTCTCTATGCGTCAAATCGACTCGATGGCAGTGAATTTGGGTTTGTTTTCTTTTTTGGTGGCGAATATATTTGGATAATGGACTAACAGCAGTTTTCCAATTAGCTTAGGAATTAAATAAACAGCCAGCCAGGATCTTGGTGGACTTTTTTGCAGGGAGTGAATAGTCAAGTATTTCTGTGAGTCTTGTTCTTAGTGGTCAGTGCTTCCTACAGAGCTAATAGGAATGTAAGTAGCCTGACCAGTTTGGTTGCATGTATTTTAAAGTCTTGTCAAAGCACACTCCTTAACTTCTACAAATCTGTTTGATGATGATTGTGAGTGATCAGAGCTATGCACAGACACTGATGTTCCGGATGTCTGAAGTACATTACTTAGGGGCAAAGAAGAGACTGTATGTTTGTGACCAGTTGGAAATCACTGATGTCTAGCCAGAAGACACTGGTTAGAGTACCGGCACATGTATAGAATGCATGCCTGGGCACTCATACATTTAAGGCTTTAAAGAGCCCTGGTGATGCAGTAGTTAAGCACTCAGCTGCTAAACGAAAGGTCAGCAGTTTGAGCCCACCAAAATAGCTCTCAGGAAAAAGACCTGGCAGGCTGCTCCCATGAAGATTACAGCCTAGGAAGCCCAGTGGGGCAGTTATACTCTGTCACATGGGGTCGCTGAGAGTCAGTGTCGACTCAACAACATACAATATTTATGATTTAAAAAATGGTCATAACATATGAAATCAGAAAGCAAGTTAAAAATCTGTTGACCATGATCCGAGTTGTTTTTAAAATGTGTGTGTATGTAGATGCATCATGTAGGTACAGAGAAAAGATGAGAAGTGTATATACCATAGACAGCAGTGCTCATTTCCAGGGAGCAGGATGACAGGTGATAATCCATTTCTTTCACACGTCTAAAAGTATCTTCCAGAATTTTTTTAATGACTAGTGATTGCATTTGTAATCAGGAAGAAAATATTTCCCTTCTAAAAAGTCTGTCTAAAGAGAGTTGAAGAAAAAGAACTCTTCTCATCTTCAAGTCTAGTTCTTGACTTGAAGAACTATCTACCCCCTTCCTTTGTTCTAACTTTTTCATTTTCCACTTGGAAAAATTTGAGGTTCAGAGAAAATGCATATTCACACAGCTTATTAGTAGCAGCTTTCTGGATCTGCAGCACAGTGCTCTCTGGTTTTCCATGCTGCTGCTTCAGCCACCAAATTTCATTGGTCAACACAAGTTAATGGACAGTTTCGTTCACAGCTCGAGCTAATCCAAGATACCGGGTTCCGTGTCATTTGTTAAGTGAAATGGACGTAGCCAACGTTGAACTACAAACAGCAAGGTAACTTTGAATCACCTAGAAAATGAGTGGCTTTTCCAGAATTTAGGCCTTAAACATTTAATAATAAGCATTTAGGAAAAAAAAAAAAATTAACGCCAGTGTCTGTTTAGCTGCTGCATTTTTATATCAAGGTTGCTTTGTTCTTTAGAATTATTTTTATCCGTGGGAATGACCTAAATAATGTACATAAAAGGCCACCGCCAAGTGGGGTTGAGGCCTAAGACCAGAGATTGGTGAGCACCCAGTTGGCTAAAGGAATTGTCTTGTGGCCACATTACCCCTTGGGTGTAAAGAGAGCTTACCATTAACATCACCCCATGTATTCAAGTTGTGGAGAACTAGATCAGAGGTGGGCAGGTTTTCAGGATGAAACAGGGACCCTGCATATGGTCTTGCCTACTGTTGGCCAGGCTCACTGTTGGTCTTGGGTTCTTAAAGGAATGGGCTGTGAAAAGGGAATGACCTGCATGCTCTCTTGGGGCTCTTGGACCCTGAAGAACAGTTCTTTATTTGTTGTCTGACAGTCTCTCCAGGGAATCAGGTTAGGAGATGCAGGGCATTTGAAGATGCTCCTTTGGTCTCCTTGTGGACTCACCTGGCTGAAGGTGGCAGGACTTTGTACAACGTTTTTATTGCTGATGTGGAGCTGGGAAAAAATAGCAGATGCTGAGTGACAAACCAAGATCAGAGAAAATTTCAACAAAAAAGATAAAAAGAGAGTGACATCTGTTCAGTGTGCAAAGGCGCTTGCATGATTAGTATGGATTAGCAGCAAGTATCAAGCAAACAAAAAAGTAAGGAGGCTTGAGCCACCGACAAGCTCTTTATATCGTTCTCAGAAAAGCGAAGGTTGGCTTTGACTGATTAATAGAATTGCCTCTCAAGTGCTTAACCCCTGGCAGTAGGCCCATCCCACCTCCATGTTGGTCATACTGTTGGAGTACAGTGTTTAGCAGCAGACCGGAAGGCGGTTCTCTGGGGTCAGAGAAGAGCAGCCAGCTTGCTGCTGCGGCGGCTGCCCCAGAGGAGCTCCCTCCACCTGGAGGGGGGAGCTGGGCGGAGTCGGGAGGGGGTCTAGGCCCGCCAGGGAAGAGGGGATGGAATAGCACTTTGTAGCTGGCACTTAGTTCTCTGAGTAGGCTTCTGGCATTTTGTTTGTGACTAGAACATACTCAGCCTGGAAGATCCTCAGTGTCAGGTCGGTTCTGGGTGACGTAGTGACATTGCACAGTCTACGCTAGAATCCTTTTCCTTGGACTTTATGGTGGTGGTTAGAGCTAAGTTCTTGGTATTTATTGAGAAACTAAAATGGCTGTCTTAGAGCATGGAAGGAAAGGATCTGCATTATTTAGGTGGAGTGGAGAACTTTATATTGTATATAAAATAGATTTGGTTTGAAATGATGCACAACATCTACACATACAGATTGTTTTATGCCTCTTTTAAAGGGCAGAGTATGATTCCGCAAACAGTAATTTTCAACTGCATCTCCATCTGGGTCCTCATTATCGTCTTTTCAATGGGGCTCTGCACCCACTGGTCTCTCAAACAGAAAGTGTGTGGGATTTGACCTTCGATAGAAGAAAGACTTTAGGAGATCTTCGGCAGTCGATATTTCAGGTAATCTAACCTTACTTCCTCCTAGTTCAGACCAGAGTCTGTCTCAGGCTGGAGTCTCCCTTTATTCGTGTTTAGGATCCAGATGTTTATTTTTCAAAGCTGTTTGGGAACATCCAGTATCTGCCACTGCCATAGAAGGACGATCCCCTGTCCTCTTGCACTTGGAAGGCTTTCAGAGGGGCTTTACTGTGCAGCGAGACTCCTGCAGCTCCTGCTGGCAGTTGTTAGGGGGGGAGTTAAGCCTGGTACCTTTTCTTGGGGAGGAGCAATGTAAGGTGGCCTCTGTCCTGGAAAGTGAATCAAAGAGAATTGTTTTTGAAAAGGAGTGAAAAAAATAAAGATGTTGTCAAAAACCAGGACATGCTAAGCAAATGAGAGCAACTATTCTTTCTCTCCCTCTAGCATTGGCTAGCGTTTGTTCAGAAGATTCCCACGTGGAGGAACTATTTACTAGGAGCTCTGGTGGCATAGTGCCTGAGGCACTTGACTGCTAACTCGAAGGCCAACGGTTCAAACCCTCGAGCCGCTTCTCGGAAGAAAGGTTGGGCAATGTACTTCCACAGTGATGTTGTTGTTGTTATGTGCCGTCGAGTTGGACCCAACTCATAGCGACCCCTCCTTGGGTTTCCGAGGCAGTATCGCTATGGAAGCAGATTGCCCCATCTTCCTTCTGAGGATTGGCTGGTTAGCAGTCAAGTGCTTTAGCCACTATGCTACCAGAGCTCCCTCCACAGTGATACTGCCTCGGAAACCCAAAGAGAGGTCACTGTGAGTCCAATCCGACTTGACTGGCAGTGAGTGTTTTAGTAAAAACAAGCATCGTTGAGATCATTCTTTCCAGATCATTTATCAAGCTGTTTCAGTGATAATTACACTAACAGGGCGCTTCAGCTGACTTGTAGTGCTTTCGTAGAAATGATGTCATTTATTTCTCTAACTTCACGAGGACACAAAAACTCCATTTTGAAGGTGGTGAAGGCATTATATTTAAAGACACCCAGTGGCTTGCTGCGGTCAGATGTCTTGTACAGTCGAGGCAGGACTCCAGCCCTGGCTCCCTACTTTTAATGGTGTGGTCTTTCCTCTTTACTGATTCTCTTCTCCCCACACTAACCCCTGATCAAGGACCAGGGCAATGGAAATAGAAGTTTTTTTTTTTTCCAAGAAATAAATGAATTTTCTGAACTCACTAAAATCCCTAGCTTTGTTTTGATCTTCTTCCTTCTGTGCTAAGAAAAACAATTAAATCACTTTCTTTTTCTAACTTTGGTTGACTTGAAAGATGTTTTATGAACCTTGTGTCCGCAGTCTTGCTATATCATTGCTTACTTGTTCCAGATTTTTGGTTGATTCTTGGGAAATTTCTGCATAGAAAAGCGTATCATCTGTACAGAAGACAGCGTTACTTCTTCTTTCTCTGCCTGTCTGCATTTTACTTCCTTTTCTTGGTTGATTGGTTAGCTAGGACGTCCAGTCACTGTTGGATAGACGTGGTGAGCGTGGACGTCCTCATCTTGCTCTTGGTCTTAGGGGAGGCATCTGTTTTCTCACCGTGATGTGTGATGTGAGCTGTTTGTTTTAGCTGATGTTCTTCCTCAGACAAAGGGTGTCCCCTCTGTTCCGAGTTTCTGAGAGTTGCTGTCATGAACGGTGCTGATTTGTCCAATGCTCTTTCTCCATCCTTGAAATAATCACGCGGTTTTCTTTCTTCAGCCTGTTGATATGATGAATTACATTAATTGATTGGCGCACGTTGAATCAGCCTTGCATACTTGGAATAAATCCCACATGGTCACAATATACAGTTCTTTTTATACATTGTAACATTTGGTTTGCTGGTATTTTCTTGGGTATTTTTGCATCTATATTCATGAAATATTGGTGTGTGATTTTCCTGCCCAGTAGTGTCTTCGTCTGCTTTGGTATGAGGGTAATGCTGACCTCAAGGAATGAGTTGGGGAAGTGTTCCCTCTTCGTCTCTTTTTTGGAAGGGTTTGAGGAGGATTGGTGGTGGTGCTTCTGAAATGTTTGGTGGAGTTCATCAGTGGAGCCCTCTGACCAGGTGCTTTCTGTTTTGAAAGGTTATTAATTATAAATTCAGTTTCCTTAATACAGAACTATTCAGGTTATGTATTTCTGCCTGTGTGAGTTTTGGCAGATTGTGTCCTTCAACAAATTGGTCCATTTCATCTGAGTTACCAAATTTATGTTGTTTGTATATTCCTTTCCTGTTCCGTTGATATCCAGGGATCCGTCATGATGGCCTTGCTCTCATTACTCGTATCACTATAGTGAAACCGACAAGAGCAGAAATGTGACAGGACTACCTTGTTTTTCCGGGTCTCATGAGTTTTCCACCTTGGACAGGGTGTGGTCTTACTTTTCTGTTACTCTATTAATGGGAAATACTTGAATTTTTCTGGTAAGTTTCTGCCTCATCCAGGTTCCAGCTTTTGCAGGTTTTTCTGTAATTTGTGTCTTCTCTTTCTTCCTGGTTAGCCTGGCTAGAGGTTTATCAGTTTTATTGATCTTTTCAAATAACCGGCTTTTGGTTTCATTGATTTTCTGTTTCCTGTTTTCAATTTCATTGATCTCTGCTCTAATTTTTCTTATTTCTTTTCTTCTGTGTTTATTGTATTAATTTGTTTGTATTCCAGTTTCCTAGCATGGAAGGTGAGGTTGTTGATTGTAGATCCCTTCTTTTCTGATAAATGCATTCATAAATCCCGCTTCTCTTCTGATGCACACGTTCATAGATCACCTTCTCTTCTGATACATGCATCCATAGATCCCCCTTCCCTTGTGATACACGCATTCATAGATCCCCCTTCTCTTCTGATACTCGTGTTTGTAGATTCCCCCTTCACTTCTGATACACACATACGTTAATTCCATTTCTCTTGGGATAAACCCTTTTGTAGATCCCCCTTCTCTTCTGATACACACATTCCGTGCTGTACATTTCCCTCTAAACACTGCTTTTGTTAAGTTGTATTTTCTTCATTTAGTTCAAAATACTTCTAGATTTCTCTGGAGGTTTGTTTGACCCATATGTTATTTAAAAGTGTGTTTTCTAACCACAAGCTGATTTGTGATTTTCCCACTGCATTTCTATTACTGATTTCTGGTTAATTTCATTGTGGCCTGAGAGCATACTCTGTATGATTTGTATTCTTTTAAATGTATAAGACATGTTTGATGGCCTGGGATGTGGTCTGTCTTGGTGATTGTTCCATGTTATTTGATGGCCCGGGATGTGATCTATCTTGGGACTGTTTCATGTTGTGTGATGGCCTGGGATGTAGTCTGTCTTGGTGACTGTTCCATGTGAGCTTGAGAAGCATGTATATTCTGTTGGAGAACTGGGTATTTAAACACTGGATTAGTATCACCATTTTTAAAATTGTTTAATATTTCTGAACTTTTGCTTTGAAAGTTTTATTTCTGAGCTAATTCTGGCAGTTTTGATACAGGCAGACTTGGGAATCTAAATCTGGCTCAGATGACATATCAAATGGAAAAGATAATTACCTTCAGAATTAATCTTTGCAAGTCCTAGATTCACTCCAGTCTTTGCTCTCTGGTGTTGAAGTGTCCCTGTCTAGTAACAATTATCTTAGAAGTAAGCCATTGTCAAGAGACTGGCTGGCATCGATAGAATGAATTATTTTCTTGAAATATGAGATTTATCTGTGGTGTGGTTGCTAACCAGAAGGCTGGTGGTTCAAACCCACCAGCCACTCCTCTAAAGGAAAGTTAGGCGATCTACTTCTGTAGTGATACTGCCTCGGAAACCCAAGGAGGGGTCGATTTGAGTCGAGTCTGACTTGATGGCACATAACAAGAACAACAGCATGGTATTGTGGAGAATGACTCAATTGGAATGCCTTTTGTGGATCATTACTTTAGTGAGATTACCACAGTTCCCAGAGACTTGGATCTAGAAACGTAGAATACATCACCAGAATCTGTTATAAACCAGTAATGCCACTTTTTTACAGTTATGCTGGGAGACGTTCCTTTCAGGTCATTAGAATGTTTGTGTATGCAAGAGTTCGTGCTGCCCTCCCCTGGACACTGGGGGCTGGGGGGACAGGTATTGGTGTTGGGTCCCTTTTCCTAGACCACCATGTCGATCACGTTCCCATGTTACATAGCATTGTCCACATAGTCATTGTGCTTTTGTGTGTGTCAGGCTCCTCTAGTCAGTAACAGTGGAGAGTGCCCATCTGGATTTTACTAGTTTAATGGGTGATGTCTTACTTCCAAATTTGGGTGTTGGGTGGAATGGGAGACTTTATTGATTATTTGTATGTCACCTATACATGGGAGGCATTTAACCTGGAAATGAGACACATATATGTTACTTTTCATTGCTGTCTTGTCTTTTCTTAATCTCCTTAAGCTCTTAGAATTTTGGGAAGGAGACATGGTTCTTAGTGTTGCAAAGCTCGTCCCAGCTGGACTTCATGTTTACCAGACGCTTGATGGTAAGAGGAAGAGGAACACAGCAGTTGGTTTTGTACATGATATCTTACACGTTAGATTCATGTGGGTCTCATGTGGGATTGTTTACTCTCTGCCAGCCTTTCTCCTACGTGGACTTCCCTACCTATATCCAGATTATCACACTCTCAGGTTTCAAAAACAAAGAACTTACCCAGTTTATAATGTATTTAACTTACATAATGTGTGAAATCTTTCTAACGTGATAATGTATTATATTTTCTGAAATTAAGACAACCCCTTCACCTATTTTTTTTTTTCTTTTTAAAGGCTTTGGATTATTTATATATACACACACACACACACACACACACACAACCACAAGCATGACAGTGATTGTGAGAATGGCACAGGCAGGACCAGGCAGCGTCTGCTGTTGTATGTAGGGTCGCTATGAGGCCTAACTGGTTCAACAGCACCTAACAACAGCACCAGGACCAATTTTTAACAAAAGGGTTTGAAATCATTTGAACCTTAGTTGTATGCTGTGAATTTTTGCCCATATCTCAGCTTCAGATTTTGTAGCAAGCCAACAAAAAGTACTTCAAGAGTTTGAGAGTACTTACTTTCTTTAAGTTACAGTAAAAGTAATAGCAGCAGCAGGAACATGTATTTCTGTCTTCTTTGTGCCAGACACTATGATAAGTGTTTTATGTGAATTATCTCATTTAATTTTCACAAAATAAACTGAAGCTTAGAAACTTTGAAGTAACATCTTAGGACGTGTACTGGGTGGAGCTAGGACTCTGAGCATGTGATGCCCAACCCTTACTCCTGTCCACAGTGTTGGAGACCTGAGGTACTGGCCTTTATGTTAACTCTTCTTTGCTATTCCTGTTCTCACAAAGATGATGCAACAACCTGGGAAAATGCTTTCATAAAATTAAAACTAAAGATGCAAATAGAGCTACAAAATAGCATCAGTGTACTAATAATAATTGTGACTTTTTCTTAAGTTTCCTTGATGAGAATGCTTTTTCAGATGCTCATGTGACTCACCTGAGCTCTTTCTTTTTTTTGGATGATGGTGATGCACCGTCTCACTCATGGTCTTGTCTTTCCAGGGGATGAACTGACACTGTGGGACATGGAAATTGCTGATGGAGAAGACATCTTTGTATGGAACGGTGTGGAGGTAAAAGATAGTGAAGAAATTGCCAGTGATTTCTTTGGAGTTTTTTCTTAAGTCATTGCAGTGAAATTTCATACATGAATGCGGTTGGATTCTAGGAAGCTGCTAGAATGTTTAGTAACTTCTGGGCCCAGTCAGTGTTGGCTGCATGTTAAAGGAGTGTTTGCTGAGCACCTGCATCGTGCCAGGCCCTGTCTCAGCTGCCAGACTCCAAGGGACCCTGCATAAAGTAAATAGATAGTGACCCGGCCATGTGCGTAGTCCCTGTGGGAATTCGGAAAGGAGTTAGTACTGAGCTGAGTGAGGGAACACTGACGGAGGTGACCAGCGAGAGGAGAGTGGTTTTCCTGTGCTGGGAGTGGGTGCGGAGCAGCGCAGCATGCTGGGACTGTCCTGGAGCCGTCTCACGTTTCCAGGGCTTCGTCACCACTCGGAGTGAATCACACATCTCTGCTTTCACGCCAGATGTCTCTCCTAAAATAGCGTGTTCTGCTGCTTATTGGCTGTGTCCGCCACCTTATTCCATGGCTTCCAATTGAGACCTACCAGAAGGGAGTTAGTCACCACCCTCCACTCACCCCACCTCACCTCCCAGAAATAACCAACCAGAGAAAAGCCTGCACCCCCTCCTTGAACAGTGGCATCATCCATTGTGCAAGGCCCTGCTCCTGGGAGTACCCTTTGACCTTTCTCTGCATCCTAGTAAGCATCAAGAGCACTCCCCCGTCCTGGAATCGCCAGGTCAGGCACGGCTCTGTCTGCACTGCTTTATCTTAGTTCAGACTGCCGTCCTTCCCAAGTAGACTGCCTCGCTTACTGTTGCTGCAGTTGTCAAAGCTCTTAACAAGCATTCAGAAAAGGACAAATGAAAATAAAATGCATGATCTTATCCCGTCACTATCTTGCCCCATGATTTAAATCCCCCACCGTGGTCCTTCAAGATCTGACCCACACTTCCTTGGCACACTTCCTCTCTTTCCTTCCTTGCACTCTGCACACCGGCCATGCCACTCTCTCCATAGACCCTAGGCCATGCTGCTCCTGCTACTGGAACTGCCCTTCCCTCCTCCTCGCTCTCTGTCCCACCCTCTACTCCCTATGCCCCCACTGCACCTGGCAAAAACGGAGTCTTAGTATCCGTTGTGAAGCTGCCTTTTCTCTTCAATCCAGATTAGGTGTCCTGCCCTGCACAGACCCTTACCACTTTCTGCAAATCTCTAGTGTAGTATTTCATGCACCCATTGATTTGTCCCCTCTTGAACTCTGAGCTCACGTGGGACAGACACAGTGTTTGTTTTTTTTTTCTTAATGCATTTTATTGAAATAAAATTAATGTACAGTGAAATACACAAAACTAAACTGACATGAGTCAATGCATTTTTTTTCCCTGCAGTGTTCCCTCCCCTCCCCATCCACCCCTGGCAACCAACAAAGAGTTTCCCTCCATATATAAAACTTTCCTTCACCCTCCACAACAATATATATATATTTGTCCTTCTATGATTGACTTATTTCACTCAGCATAATGTCCTCCAAGTTCATCCATGTTATGCAGTGTTTTATAGACTCTATGTTATTCTTCAGTGCTGCATAGGCTTCCATTATGTGTATGTACCGTAGTTTGGTCATCCACTCTTCCGCTATAAATCTTAGAGATAAGTTCCTTGCTAGATATGTAATTATCAGCAAATATGAATTTATTGCTGTCATTTTTCTTATGTGCATTTTCGTGGTGTCGATTTCTTTGTTCCATATAATTTTCTGTGCTGAACTCGTTTTATTTCTGAATCGTGTTATCCCTTCCTTCATTGCTCTTATTTCAGTATTTGCTGAATATTTATGCTGGTCCTCTTTTTTTGATGTGATGGTTTATCATTTTTCTTTGAGGTTACCGTGTGATTTATAGTTTTCTTCCCAAGTTTAGAATAGTCCATTCTATCTTGTAGTTGTCTTGACATCCCTACCATCTAGAATTGTAACGACAACAGTTTTTTCCCTCTTTTTGGTTTGTAGTTGTCCCCATTTGTCAATTGATGTCTCTGGTTCTCTGTTTACAATCTTGCAGGCTTCTTTACTTTGGATACTTCCATAGCTAGGTTGGTTTCTGGGTTATATCATCATGTGTTTTAATGGTCAGTTGTTGTTGGCTGTTGTTGCTTCTCTGTCCAAAGGGCTCCCTTTAGCATCTCTTGTAAGGTTGGTTTGATTTTAACAAATTCCCTTAATTTCTGCTTATCTGGAAATGTCGTAATTTCACCATCATATTTGTGGGACGGTTTTGGTGGGTACATAATTCTTGGTTGGAAATTTTTTTCTTTCAGTGTTTTATGTGTACCATCCCATTGTCTTGTCCCCTGTATGGTTTCTGCTGAGAAATCTGAGCTTAGTCTTACTGGTTGCCCCTTGTAGGTAACTTTTGGTTTTTCCCATACTGCTCTCAGGATTCTTTCTTTGTCTTTGGTTTTGGTAAGTTTAATGATGATATGTCTGGGTGATTTTCTTTAGGAGTTTATCCTGTTTGGGGTTTGTTGGACTTCCTGAATGAATATATTCTTATCTTTCATCATACCAGGAAAATTCTCTTCCAACAAATCTTTGACAATTTTCTCTGTGGTTTTATTTGTCTTTTCTTGTTCTGGAATTCCGATTACACATAGGTTATTCCTTTGATGGTATCCCACATGAACCTAAGGCTTTCTTCATTTTGTTTTGATCTTTTTTCTGATTTATCCCTTTCCAAAGAAGTGTTCAGGTATTTGCCTTCAGTCTCCCTAATTCTGTCTTCCATTGATTCAGTTCTGCTCCATTCAAGGTCTTACCTATTTCTGAAAATTTAGTATTAAATTTCTGCATTTTTTGTGTGTAGATTTTGTATCATTTCTAATTTTTCATTTATTTTTGTCATTTTGTTCTTGCATTGTTGTTTGAAATTGTTCTAGGGTTTTCTCATCTTTCAATTCATTAAAGATCCCTAAATATAATTGTTTTGAATTCCTTGTCAGGGAGTTCCAATGCTGCATCTTCCTCAATGATGTGTTTTGGGTCTGTATCCTGGTCCCTTGTTTCTCCTGCTTTGTCTTGCTTCTTTGTGTGGACTGTGATGCTCCACTGTCTCCGAGGCATTGTGGCGTTTTGTGTTTATATTTAATTGGTGATTGTATGTTGAAGTGACTTGCCCACAGTATGTTATTTATGCAAGCAGGGTACTGTGCTCTTTGATTCACTAGTTGACAGTACTTATACACTCACCACCTATCTTCTTTCCTGTTGTCAGCCTTTCGTATGACCCTGCTGACCTTGGCAAACAGATCCTATTCCTAGGTCCCTGAAATCCGAATGAGAATGCTATCACTTTAAAATCCAAGATGGTTGCCACTTACAAAGATTCAAAATGGCTGCACCCTTGGTCACTTTAAATATCTAAAATGGCCGCCTCTTGTAAACATTCAAAATGGCTGTGCCCTCTGTCACTTTAAATATCCAAAATGACCTCCGCTTGTGAACATTCAAAATGGCTGCACCCTCAGTCACTTTAACTATCCAAAAGGGCTGCTGCATGTAAACAATTAAAATGGCTGTGCCCTCCAGGCAGCGGAATGTCCACAGCTCAGGTTGTCTCCCTCCTTGCTGTTTCCCTTCCTAATTATAGGCCACTAGGGCAGTTGTCCCTGCAGCCCTTGGTGACCAGAGCTGATCTTTAGGTCAGTTCTCAGGTCCCAATACCACTTGGAAATATTCAGGCTGTTGGTCCCGTCAGAGTAGCTGACAATCCGCAGCTCCAACCATCTCTGTACTCACTGTTTTCGGTCCGGTTTTTCCACTAGTTGGTGCCTAATCCACTTCTGTATAGTTCCTTTCAAAACTCAGGGCTCCAGGATTATCTTCTGTATCTCTGTCAATTGGTTTTTCTTTGTTGAAGGGGGTCTGTGTCACTTGTCTGCCTATCCCTCTATCTTACCAGAAGTCCAGACACGGTGTTTTTAATCTTCTCTAATCCAACACTTAGCTTGGGACCTGGCTCATAATAGGCACTCTGTAAATGTTTGGATTACAAGTGGGATAGGAACATGGGAAGATGTGCTGTGTTTTGGAAGCCAGCACACACTCAGTGGTAACTAAATCGCAGGCTTATTAGCAAAAAATAGAGATGAGGCCAAAGGATGGTCTGGAAAGAGCCTATGAGTTGCCATTTCTGAAATGCATCTTGTCTTCATACCTTTGCCTGGACACCTGCCCTCTTTCTCTAACCTTGTTGACTGTCATCCTTAAAGATCTATTTGACATGTTATCCAGTCTTTGAAACACTCCTTAACTTCCCCAGGCAGAGCAAGTAGCTTTGTCCTAACATTTTTGGTACTTGGCTGTTGCCTCTGCTGTCACATTTATCATGGTATATCCATTTGTCTTGTTGAGGGTTTTGAAGGCAGAAACTATCTTACTCACCTTTATATCCTTGGCACTTGCTTTGTATATGGTAGGGATGTCTCAGACATTTCTAGAATTAGTGGGGGTGTGGATAGCACTGACTCAGAAATTCCAGTCTGCTCTCATCCTCGAGGACCTGTGACATAAATGATGTCAGACCATGTGCCATAGGAGGTATAGAAGATAACTTCCTGCTCTACAGGAACTTAAAAGTGAGATGGATTGACCACACAGAAATCGGCATCAGTGACAGATAATCATAGCTAATGTTCCTAGCGTAGAGCTGTACTGTGATCATTTTAGATGAAGAAATGTTTCATGTCGAATGATAATCTAAGGCATTGGAATAGGTAGAGTAGTTGAACAAAGCCTTTTGGAAGAAGGCGTAGCTGTGATCAGATGTGTGGCAATGATTGGTGTGTGCACTTGGCTGGTAGGACAAGTTGACTTGATATGTACCTTGAAAGTTGGTGAGGGGTAGAGGTGGTCTGAGAAACGAGGGTTTTATCTTGTGAACAGTAAGAATCCCTGACTGCTCTGGGCAAGATGATAATGTAGTAGATGTGCTATTTTAGGAAGTGATGCTGGTTTGAGCGGGAGAGCTTGTATGGCAGAAAATAACACCAGAGGGCTGTCAGTAGCCCAGCTGTGTAAAGAGCCAGACTAGCTAATGGCTGTGGAAATGGGGGAAAAAAAAAAAACATGGATGAGGGAAGGTTTCAAAGCAGACATTTAGGAAAATTTTACTTAAAAAAGATTTGTCTATAAATGTAGTCATTTACTATGTTGTTATGCTAACTTTCCCAAATAGGAACCACTCTAATGGGTGTCTTCATGTTGTTCTGTAGGTTGGTGGCGTCCAGATTCAAACTGGTATTGACTGTGAACCTCTGCTTTTAAATATCCTTCATCCAGCAACAAGTGGTGATGGAGAACAGTGTCAGCAGTGGGTAGAGTCCCCATGTGTCTTGCCCGCGAATGCAGAAGTAGCCAGTATCCTCACAGCCCTAGCCGTCCCAGCAGGGGTCATCTCAGTAAGCAGTGCTGAGTCCACAGGTGAAGGGAGCTGGACCACCATTCCCCCGGGAGACCTGAAGATGACGCTCAGAGAGCAGGGTCTCAGGAACGGCAGCTTGGTTCTGGTTCAGCATGCTAATGGTGATGCTCACAGGTAACTAGTGAAAAGAGAGGACCCTGCAGTTCCTTTCTTTGTTTTGTTTTGTTTTTAATTGTGATTTCGGTGAAGGTTTACAGAGCAAATTCACTTTCCATACAGCGGTTCACATATACTTTGTCTCATGACATTGACCACAGTTTACCACAATGCAGCAGCTCCCCTCCCACTTCCTCCCCATAGTTACCCCTTCCCAGTGTTCATCCCTCCATGGACTCCTGCCCCCTGAGCTGTCTCCCTGTGCATAAGCAGCCCTTCTTTCTCCCATGATTGTACTCTCCAAGGAGAGTATCTACTTGAGGTAAATTTTTAGCTCATATGCCTGTCTTTTGTTTGGCTGGAAACCACAGGAGTGGGTTCAATTCCAGACCTGAAGGGCAGCTAGGGGCCATAGTCTCAGTGGTTCCACCAGGCTCTATCGGACCAACAAACCTGCTGTCCCCCCCTCCCTTTTTTTTCTTTCCTCCAAATGATTTTGAGTTTTGTTCCACAATCTTCTCCCTCTCCATCAAGGATCTCCTACATAGATCCCCTTCCAAGTGGATGACAGTGGTAGCCGGGCACCATCTAGTTCTTCTGGTCTCATAGTCATATAGGCTGCAGATCGGATGGTGTACCAGTCGCTAGGACTAATTGTTTCCGTGAATTTTGGTTTTCTTCATTGTTCTTTGCTCTGGACAAGCAGAGACCCATAGTTGCATCTAGATGGCAGCTTGCTAGCTTTTAAGATCCCAGTCGCTACTCGCCAAAGTAGGAGGTGGAACAATGTTTTGTATAGTATGTTATGCCAACTGAGCTTGATGTCCCGTGACTATGGTCCCAAGCCCGCAGGATCAACTACTCGATCCCTCTGGGTAGCTGGCTGTAACCAAGCAGTGACCACAACCTTGCCCCTTGTCAGCTCTCTACTGTACACCTGGGAATTCTGATCATTCACATAAACTTATAGGACCATTGTCTGCCAACCCTATGTATGTTCTTGGATACACTCCACATTTCATAGACATTCCTAATTGTTCAGCCTGTCCACCCATCTATCTATCCACCTGTATACCCATGTTTGCCTTCACTGACAACACAGTACTGTATGCAGTTCGTTTTAATAATGATACAAGTTCAGTGTTCCATTCGTTTCTAGACAGTGTATTCTAGATTTATAAACAGGAGTGTTCTCACTTATGCAACTTGGAGAAAAATAATGTAAAGTGATTTTTTGGTCAGTGTGGTAACTGACTAACACACACATCCGTAGTTGTACTGGTCCGATACACAAGCAGTCCCCAGGTTACAGGCGTCCACCTACAGACAACTCCTGTTGGTCCTTTAATGCAGAACTTCCAATAGGTTCTGTCATGGCCAGTGGAACAAAACGAGAAGAGGCCAGAATTTTTAGTTTGGGTGATTTGGGAAAATTACAGGAAGGGGAGACTTGGAAGAGGCCCCCGTCATGCGCCTGATGCACAAGGTTGGATTATTGGCGCACAGTCAGGGGGATGCAGTTGGCCACCGTCTGTGAGCGGGGTGCTGCCATCTTTGAAGCTCTGCTTTAACGTTATATAAACTTACCATCATTTTGATACAATTAAAGGAGCCTTGGTGGCACAGCCATTAAAGTGCTCAGTCACTAAACAGAAGGTCAGAGGTTTGAACCCATCAGCTGCTCCTTGGGAGAAAGATGTGGCAGTCTGCTTCCATAAAGCTTTACAGCTTTGGAAACCCTGTAGGGCAGCTCTACTTTGTTCTATAAGGTCGTTGTGAGTTGGAATTAACTCTGTGGCAGTGGGTTGAAACAATCCCTACTGGCAACAAATTCATTACAATCACCTTCACCTACTGCACATGCAGCTTTTAAAACATAGAAAAGGCGTCAGGCCTTTTCTTTCACTTTCAAAATAAGGCTGATAAGAACTGGATATATCTGTTCCAATTTACCTACAAATGCTTAGAGACATAGTTAAGAACAGCTCTTGTAACCTGGGGACTGCCTGAGGGTGAAGATTAGGGTTAGATGCAGAATTCTATCAACCAAATTCTGATTAGCACCCACTATGAAACTGAAAGGAGCTCTGGTAGCATAGTGCCTAAGGCACTTGACTGCTAACCAGAAGGCTGGCGGTTCAAACCCACCAGCCACTCCTCAGAAGGAAGGTTGGGCAATCCTACTTCCTTAGTGATACTGCCTTGGAAACCCAAGGAGGGGTCGCTATGAATTAGGTCTGACTCAGCGAGATGGCACATAACACCAGCAACAGCATGAAACCGAAGGCACGTTCTCATAAAGAAAATTCCTGACGTTTTCATGAAGATGATGTTACAGTCACAGCTACCTCACCTGTGGGTATTTTGTTACAAGAGTCCCGTGACTTTTTAGGGCCTCCTAGCTACCCATATGGAGCTTCGGCATTACACCCTCACCTGGAGTCCTGTAGCTCACAAATGAAGCTCGGAGTCGCTCCCTCTCTCTCTGCCTTTGTAATTCTTTCTGGGACAATACATTTCTGTAGTCAGTGTCTCATACACTGCATCTGCCCGGATTCCCACCTATTGAAGGTGGAGCCAGTGACCTTGGGCAAGTAGCTTCGTCTCTCCCTGCTCAGTTTCTTCTGTAAAATGGTAATAATAATTGTTACCAACTTCATAGAGTTGTAAGGATTGAAAGACTTAAGTGCTTAGGAAGTATTTGGACATGGTGTTGTACTAGCATCATTATCAGCTTCATCTGGTTTCTCACCATTTTAAGGTAGTCTTAAGGCAACATCTTTGTGCTTAAAACTTTGTTGTATTTAGGATTGCTAACTTAAGGTAGAGTCTCAGCAGAGTAATAACTGAAACAAGGAGTAGAAATGTGTTTTAGGGCTCTGATGTTGTTAGGTGCTGTCAAGTCAGTCCCACCGCCTAACGATCTTTTGTGCAACAACGAGACGTGGTCCGGTCCTGTACTGTCCCAGTCGTCGCTAGATGTGAGAGCTCTGCTGCAGCCACTGGGCCAGTCAGCTCACTGAGGGTCTTCTTTCTTGCTTACCCTCCACATTCCAAGTGTGATGTCCTTGCGCAGAGGCAGGTCCCTCCTGATGACATGTCCGAAGGACGTGAGACAAAGTCTGGCCATCTTCACTTCTAAGGAGCATTCTGCCTGTACTTCTTCCAAGACAGATTTGTTCTTTCTTACAGTCAGTGGTATATTCAGTATTCTTCACCAGCATCACAATTCGTATGCATCAGTTCTTTTCCTTCTTTGGGCTTCCTTGTTTATTGTCCCGCTTTTGCATGCATATGAGGTGATTAAAAATCCCATGGCCTTGGTCATGTGCACCTTAGTTCTCAAGGTGACATCTTCACTTTTGAGCACTTTAGAGAGGTGTTTTGCCACAGATTTGTGCAGCACGGTACGTCGCTTGGTATACACTCCCAAAGATGGCTTCTGTTCGCTCGTGTTGTGCCTTTGTATGAATTAGAAAGAAGTTACCCCTCTCCAGCACCCTTTACTGCGTCTGTCAGAAAATGTGAGGAGGAGGAGTGTCATTTTCTCAGAGCAAGACACTCTCCTCCATCTGTTGTCATCACATAAAACTCTGTTAAACAAAGTATAAATATACAGTGTCTGTGGTGTGAGTGACACCCCCCTTAGCTGTGACACTTCTGTGCAGTGTCAGTCTGCGCAGCTGTCCGTTGCTGCCCTGTTGCCAGACGAAGTCCACACGTGTGGGTTGCACAGGTGCTCTTCTGACGCTGTACTGGTGGTTGCCGTGTGCAGGAGGTCTGCAGCCGCTAACCCACAAGGTAACAGCTGGTTGCTCAGTTACAGCAGCTTCCTTTGGGAAAATGGCAGCAAGTTATTTGTGTAAGTCAGAAAATAATTTGAGTCACAAATACAGGCTCCATAAATACTGCCCACCACCTTAAGAGGAGAAGCAGCATTCGTAAAGTCAACTCAGTAAAGTGTGGTCACCTTGAATCTGTCACAGTGAGGGGTCCAGGTAGAGTTTCAGAAGTTGTACCTAAGAAGAAGTATTCATTTGTTCTCTGACCCTGTATGATCCATACAACTGTGATGTGAAGATGCATTTTAAAAATGTGTTTTTAAGACCAGTCTTACTGGTCTGATAGAGATTGGTGAGACCTCCAAGACTATGGTCCTTTTTTACACTTCCGGCTGGGAACTGAACTTAACTCTTGTTGTTTCCAGACAAACAATAGATAGGCATATAGGGTGAACATTTACATCAGGTAGGTACTCTCCTTAAACAGTCAACCATGGGAGATCCGAAGGGCAGTATTTGTACAGGGAGATAGCTCAGAGGGCAGGAATGTGTAGGCAAGAAGGACACAGGGAAAAGGTAACCAGAGGGAGGAAGTGGGAAGAGAGCTATTACTTTGTGGGGATTGCAGTCAATGTCGTGAAACAAAATGTGTAAGAACTGCTATATGGACAATGAATCTGCTCTATACACTTTCACTCAAATCACAATTTAAATAAATAAATAAATAAGATGTCTTTTTACCTACAGTTTGCTGACCAAACAGGGGAAATGGAGCACTAGTGTGAATGAGATTAACTGGTTCCAAGTTAACAATTTATGCCAATTAGCATCTGAAGAGAAGCAAGTTAAAGTATCAGCAACTGGGAACACAGTGAGTAGATAATAATGATAGCTAAGCGACAGATGTTTTTCCATTTAATTTAAAATTATTTATTTAGAGAACAGTAATCATTCAGAGGCATTGTCTTGACTTGTGTGTGTGTCTGTGTGTGTGTCTGTCCCCATTTGCTCTTCCTTATTTACCTATCTGCACTTTTTACATGTTCCAGGAGTATGCCTGGAATCGAAAGGTGGGAGAGATTACCTATTTAATTAGTTTGCCAAATCTTTTGGCTTTGAGAAATATCTGTTTTCAGGGGTCATTTCTGTATTTTTTAAAGCAGGAATGTGAATGTTTTGTTTCTTCTTTTGTGTTGTGTTGTGGGTTTTTTTTTTTTTTTTAGTTTACCTTAAATTGTTCTACACTGTACTCCATGCTGTGTACAAAGACAACTACTCTTCAAAAAGAATTCCTTCAGGTTTCCAGTTGAAGATTTTGCTAAGTTGTTTTTCCTTAAACATTTCTTGGGAGGCATCTTTTTATATTTACGTAAACCCAGTAAAGCTTTGTTGTTGGTTTTCTTTTCTGAAACAAGTTAAAAGAAACCTATTGGACTCTCCTTTCCTTTGATACAGTGTTGTAATTTCTTAGGGTGCATGCATATTTGTTGATATTGTAAGATCAACATCCTCTAATTCTGGAGACATGTTTCCCTGACAGTGGGGAGGAGTCTTTAGCGTAATAGGCCTTCGTTACTTCAGTCTCTTCCTGCCTTGGCAGATTGGGGGATTCTGAGCAGAAGCTAGAGTAAATGACCTGTGATGTCAGTTTTACCCCTAAATTTCCAAGGCTTTATGCCTTACTGGAAGGTGGCCTGAACTAAAAAACTATCTAAAATAAAATAATTGAAATATTAAAAAAATAGAAATTTTAAATATTGCCCATGGGTTGGTATCTGTTTTTAATTACTTATGCTTATTGGCTCTCAGTTGTCATTCTTCACATAAAGAATGTGATTGATTGCTCCATGTTTTATTTACTCTCACAGAAAAATTAGTGTTTTATCAGTTGGAATTGTTTTGTTTTCTGTAGATGTTGTTTCTGTTCCAATTAACATCAGTTTGGTTAAAACGTACCTGTTCAGTTCTGAGGTCTTTTGTTTTTGTCACCTTATTAAAGAAAAAGATGGATTTCAGGACTGGAAAACACCTTTTTTCAAATAGGCCAAAAAAACTGTTGGGTAATTAGTATCTCAGAGCTGTATGTGCACACATTGCCCTTCTCCATTTCCCTCGCCTTCCATTGTTTTCAACTTATACACAGTCATTAGTCTATTTCTCTATTTTAGGTGGTGTTTGATATTCGAATTAAAGCCATAAAGGAATTAAAATTAATGAAGGAACTAGGTAATCATTTACATTTGCTTTTTGGTTTTTTGGTTTAATTTTGTTTTGTTTTGATTTAAAAATTTAAAAAAATATATAGAAGAGTACAAGAGTAATTTAGGGAAAACTTGTGCACCTACCACCCAAAATGGACAAATGTGAGCATTCCATCATGTGTTTGTGTTTGTTTCAAACATTGCAAATAAAGTGGAACGCCTCTGTGTGTGCCTTCGCATGCTGTGTGCTCCCTCCCCAGATGCAGCCGGTCTCTGACTGGAGTGTGTCCCTCCATGTACCCAGGCTGGGTTATGTATATACATGCGTTACATTCACGTATGTGTCTGTGTGTGTTAGAGTTCTTACGTTGACCTAAATTCCATCATACAGGATATAACATCCTACAAGCTTGCAATTTGCTCAATATTAGGTTTTCTTTAATAGCTTAATTGAAGTATAATGTATATGCCATGAAATTCACCCATTTTAATTGTATAATCAGTGATTTTCAGTAAATGGACAGTTTTGTAACTATTATAACTATTACCCATTTTAAATGGGTATGGGTATAACTATTACAGCCCAGTGTGAGAGCATTTCCATCATCCCAAAAGACCCCCCCCACCATGTGCATTTGCAGTTGATCTCTGACCCAAGCCCCTGGGCACCACTGACCTGCTCTCTGACTCTGTGGACTCCCTTTCTCAGGCCATTTCATGTAAAGGGAACCATTCACTGTGTTGTCTTGTGCCTGGCTGCTTTCACTGTCTGTACCATTTTGTGAGGGTCAGTCATGTTCAACAAGTATCACGCATCAACACGTTGTTCTGTTATTAGTTCCTTTTATAGTATTCAGTGGATAGATCACATCTTGCCTGTCTGTTCACCAGTTAACGGACATTTAGATGGTTTCCATTTTTTGGCATTTTACGGATGGTGCTGCTGTGGACATTTGCCCGTGAGTCTTTGTGTGGACTTTGGTTTCATTTCTTCTGCATAGACAAAGGATTGGGTTTTTGAGTCCTGTGGGAGCTCCATGTTTACCCATTTGAGAGACTGCCAGATCATTTTAAAGGGTTATTTGGGGTGGGGGTGGGGGGAGAAGAAGAATTAGAGATTCTGTGATTCACAAAGCCTGAAATCAGTGAAACAAGAGTCTGGCTGCGCAGAAATAGGTGCTGCGTGTGTGAGTCGGTTGACCTCCAGTAGAAGAAGCAGGTGTTTCAGTGGAGAGAGTGTATTTCCAACAGTTAGTGCTCCAGCAACTGGATCTCATGTGCACAGAAACAGACCTCTGTCTTTACTCACACCATGTAAAAAATGAACTAAAAGTGGCGCATAGACCTAGCTGTTAAAGCTCTAACATTCCTGGAAGAATATCTTCGATACATTACCATGTGCAACGATTTATGTACAAACCATGGAACACAAACCCTAATTTAGTGGACTACCCCAAAGTTAAAAACTTGGCTCTTCGAAAAGTATTATGAAGGAATTGAAAGGGAAAGCCACAGATTGAGGGATGTTTACAAAGCACGTATCTGACAGGGGACTTGCACCCAGAATGTATAAGCAATACTCGAATAGCATAGTGCCTAAGGCACTTAACTGCTAACCAGAAGGCTGGCGGTTCAAACCCACCAGCCACTCCTCGGAAGGAAGGTTGGGCAATTCTACTTCCGTAGTGATACTGCCTCGGAAACCCAAGGAGGGGTCGCTATGAGTCGGGGCCAACTCGAGGGCAAATAACAACAACAACAACACTTGAGACCTAGTAAGAAGGCAAAAAACTGGGGAGATTAAATGCACACTTTACAAAAGAGCATCTACCTGCGATTGACCAGTAAGCACAGGGAAGGATAGTCCAATTCATTAACCATCAGGGAAATGAAAATTAAAACCAGAATGAGCTACCACCGTCACCTAGTTGTTGTTAGTGTCTTCGAGTCGGCTCTGACTCATCACAGTCTTGTGTTCAGCAGATGAAACGCTGCCTGGGCCTGCGCCATCCTCAGAATCCTTGCTGTACCTGAGCCCATCGTTGCAGCCACTGAATCAGTCCCTCTCATTGGGGGTCTTCCCTTTTTCGCTGACCCTCCTCTTTACCAAGCATGATACTACTGTCCAGGGAATGGTCCCTTCTGGCACCACGACCAAAGTAGGTCAGACGAAGTCTCACCATTCTCACTTCCAAGGAGTATTCTGGGTGTACTTCTTCTAGGACAGATTTTTTTGCTTTCCTGGCATCCCATGATATTTTCAGTATTCTTCATCAGTGCCACAATTCAAATTCATCAACTCTTCCTTACTCATTTTCCAGCTTTCACATGCGTATGAGGCGATTGAAAATACCATGGCTTGAGTTAGGCACACCCTAGGCTTCAAAGGGACATCTGTGCTTCTTAACACTTAAAAAGGTCTTTTATAGCACATTTGCCTGGTGCTATCTGATGTCTGATTTCCCACCTGCTGCTTCTGTGGGTGCTGATTGTGGTTCCAGGTAAAACGAAATCATCGACATCTTTAATCGTTTCTCCATTTATCATGATGCTGCTTATAGGTCCAGTTGTGAGGATTTTCATTTCCTTTGTGTTGAGGTGTAATCCATACTGCAGACTGGAGTCTTTAGTCTTCATAAGTAAATGCTTCAAGTTACCTTCACTTTCAGCAAGCCAGGTTGTGTTATTTGCGTATCACAGGTTGTTAGTGAGTCATCCTTCAGTCCTGATATAATCCAGCTTCTCAGATTATTTGCTCAGCATACAGATTGAATAAATACGGTGAAAGGATACAACCCTGACATACACCCTTCTTTCTATAACCCAGTTTTGAAAAAAAAAAAAGGTCACTGCCATCAAGTCAATTCTGACTCATAGCAACCCCCATTGGGTTTCCCAGGCAGTAAATCTTTACAGAAATAGATTACCCCATCTTCCTGCTGCACAGCAGCTGGTGAGTTTGCACTGTCAACCTTTTGGTTAGCAGTCAAATGCCTTAGGCACCATGCCACCAGAGCTCCTTATAAACCAGTAGAATGTTTCAAATACAAAGTGTAAGCAAAGGTGTAGAGCAACTAGAGCTGCCATATATGTCTGGTGGGAGTATAAAATGGTAAAGTCATTTTGGAAAAGTTTGCTTGTTTCTTACAAATTTAGACATTCACTTACCAATGCCACTCGTAGATATTTATCCAAGAGAAATTAAAACGTATCTGTGCAAAGACTTGTACATACATGTTTATACCCAAAAGTGGAAACAACCCAAATGTCCACAAGCAGGGGAGTGGGTAAAAAAATTGTGGTGTATCCATACTATGAAATACTATTTACTATTTATTGACCAGAAGCAATGCATTACTGCCCCACACAAAACATGAATGAATCTTAAAAACATATCAAGCAAAGAAAGCTGGACACGAAAGAATACATACTGTATGATTCCATTTACATGAGATTCTAGAAAGAAACAAATGTGAGCTATAGATCTGCAGACGGCAGATCACTGATGGGGCAAGATGGGATTGACTGCAAAGTGCACAAGAGAACTTGGGGGAATGATGGAAATTATGTCCGTTTGCTGGTGATTATCCAGATGTTCAAATATTTGTCAGAGTCATTGAACTGTAACAGTGAAATGGCTGCACTTCATTATAAGTCAATTATACTTCAATAAAGTTGATTAAAAGTACATGGATTATTCAAATGAATGAGTCATTGTTTTTCCTCCTGTAACTCATCTCCCCATGGCCACTCTTTGCTCCCCTTCGAACCATGCTTCATGTAGCTGGTGACCTTAACCCTAACCCTTGTTAAAAGCCTTTAGTGCTTTTTCATGGAATTTAGGGGCATTCCGTAAGGGAGCCTACAAGAACCTGCATAATCTGGCCCCTGCCTCACTACGCTTGTGATCCCCCTTTCTGCCTCCTCACAGTACACTTCCCAGTGACTCTCCGGGACTCCCTCTGTGTACACGCTCCAGTCTACCCCAGCTTCTCCAAGTTCTGCCCTCTCGCTGACCTTTCTGCCTTCACTGTCCGCTGAGTCGGTCATTCATTTGCTCTCAACTGAGGTGTTGCTTCTCTTTCATCCCTGCCCGCTCAGTCTCAGTGAGTCCCTGAACTTCTCTCCAGCACTTGCCCTGCAGTAGCCTCGTCCATCACACAGGCCTCTTTGAGGGCAGAGACCATGGTGGTTTTGCTTCATCCTTTATCCTGGCTGCTAGCACAGTGCCTGGCACACAATTAAGTAATAAATATTTGTTGAATGAAAGTAAAACAGTTTTAAAGAGATAGGATTTAAAATATATTTTTACAGGAGTAACTCTTTTCCTAGGCTGTTTTAGTTGTCAAGAAATTTTCATTAGAATTAGATGTTAGTTTCACATTGCAATACCAAAAAAAAAAAAAAAACCAACCAAACCCACTACCAGTGAGTCGATTCCGATTCATAGCAACTCCTTGTGGATTTCCGAGGCTGTAAATCTGTACGGAAGTAGATAGTCCTGTCTTCCTTCCGCGGAGCGGCTGGTGAGTTTGAACCAACAGCCTTCTGGTTCGCGGTCAGATAGATGCCTTAGGCACTACTCCACTGGAGCCCCTTTCACATTGCCGTAGCACAAGGTAGTGAACTTAGGGATCTCAGAAAGCTGGTGCTGAGGTCTAATAAAGTCGGAATTTCTAAGACCTATGGGATTTTAACCACTTAAGAGGATCCCCTCCTCTAAATCCTTGAGAAATCTGTTCTGACAAAATCCTGATACACATCCTCAAAATTAGTGCCCACTGGCCTTCATTTATTGATGAGCACAGAAGTCATCTGTTCAGTCTCGGTAGTCTTTGCTTCACACAGTTACAGTATGCACGGGTTTCAGTTCCCAGGGTTTAGTTAAATTACATAAGCACCCCCCAACAACATGCTTCACAGTTTTTAGTATCCTGTACAGTATTGACTGAGTTAGTTGCTCAAAGTCTGCCAGCCCTTTAGTCCACAAGTCAGGATGTGAACAACAGGTGCATATCAGGACAGTGATCAAGCACATCGCTGACTTCAGAGTCTGTCTGTAGTCACTCGCTGTTCCATCTCGCAGGCAGCCAAGTGTGTAGTCATGTTACTTCCTTTTCTCTCAGTGATAAACACACACAACATTTTACAAGACTGGGTGATCACAGAAGGGCCATCGAAACAAAAAGCAGTAGAGAACAGTTGTCTGGGTTGCAGAAGACAGAGCTGACAGCAAGAATGCCAGTGTTCAAGGGACGTAGGTCTGGGCCCAGAGGAACTTAAACGAAGGCGAGCTAGTTGATGTAAATCAGAGAAGTGATTGTGATTAGAAGGAAGAAGTCCCACGGGAGGTGACACTGGCAAGCACCGCATATCAGGGCTCGGGATACTGCACCCCACTGAAAGCGCAGCAGATAAGGTGCCCGAAGCTAGCCCACACTCAGAAGGAAGTCAGGCGATTTGCCAAGGCATAGATAAGATGCTTGCTTCTGTACTGTAAACTATACAGCAAGAAGGAAGCTAGACCTACACTACTTGAGATAATTTTATTTTCAGCCAAGAAACACTTTAATTCTCAGTGTTCCTTCTGTTTTAAATTACAGTGTAAATATTAATTTTACTGTTTTTTTTTCCATTACACTTGTAATTAGTAGTAGAGAAATTTTTAGTGCTTTAACAAATTATAAAGGTCACAGGACAATCATCATTTTTCCAGTGGATTAACACGGTTGTCCTTGGTTTCCTTTTGCATGGCCATTTTTAGGGCCCTGTGCCTCTTTAAAGTGAGGACTGCCCACACTGGGTTTTGTTTTCTTCATTTATTGTAGCTTCTTGTTAATCAGCACAGTAGGCATCGCCCTCGTTTCTGTGTTCATTGCACTAACCTAGTGCTTCTGTTTGTAGCTGAGAGCAGCTGTCTGAGACCTATTGACAGGAGTGGGAAGCTATTGCCTCCAGGTAAGTGTCCAGGAGTCTTCGGAAGCAGAGACACTCACCAGCGTCTTTCTTAACACTTTTGCTTTAAATACTGACTTCCAATATCGAATATTCTGAAATTACCTTTTAGAAACTGATTTATAGGATGTAGTACCTAAGGCGTAGACTGCTAACAAGAAGGCTGGCGGTTCAAATCCACCAGCCACTCCTCAGAAGGACGATTGGGCGATCTACTTCCTACATCCGTAGTGATACCGCCTTGGAAACCCAAGGAGGGGTCGCTATGAGTCAAATCTGACTCAATGGCAGTAAGTTTGGTTTTTTTAGTTTTTTTTAATTGTCATCCAGGTACCTTCCACATGTAATTACAGAAACACCATAGCCCGAAGCACCCATACTCCTGTTTTCTGAAATGAACACCTGTCTCTGAGGATGAGAGCCTTTTTCAGTCAAGGCACAACCTTATAATCTCTAGCCTTATTTTCAAAGTTTGCTTTATTTGTTGTACTAATTTTATTGTAATTCCAGTTATGAACAGGAGCCTGTGGTCCTCACATCTGTAATTCATCTTGCTATTAGCTTAATTTATTCATGGACAGACTGAACTGTTGGTGGTAGTCACAGTAGCAACTTTAACTTGGCAGAAGCAGTAGATCATTCTTGACATTTTTCTCAGTTCTGAGTATCTGACCCTTGATCTCTGTAAACCATAGCTCTTTTGAACAAGTCGTTCTTATAGGTATGAATCTAGAGCATTGATATCTGCTTCTTATCTCTTGGCACTGTTGCACAGATAACAAGAATTGTATATCCTGCAGTATGGAAATTGAAAAACATAACCATAATCTGTTTAACCCTTTTGTGTGATGTACAGCTTATTTTGTTTTTCTTTCTAAACATTACCAATTTTCAAAGAAAGACTGATACTAGTCTTATTATTTTGCTTGGGGAGGTAGTAATTAATAGTATCCATCATGTTATCAAACTTCTTTGCAGTGCCTGACAGTTACACGGTGAAGGAAGCAGAATTGAAGATGGGCAGTTCCTTAGGACTGTGTCTTGGAAAAGCACCAACTTCCACTCAGGTAAATGAAGGTGGCCTGGTAGGAAACTCGGCCCATCCATCAGGTAAACGAAGGTGTCATGGCAGGACAAACTCGGCCTGTCCAGAACCAATGCATCTTCATTCATAATTAACACGTAACAACTGCAGTAATTTTGTTTTCTTTAAAATTTTTTTCCTTAAATGATACATTTTATTTTACATCCATAGAGTTGCTTGTGATTAACTAAAACTATATTATGTCAAAACATATTCATAAGGGCCTTTTTCAGTGAAAATTTTGTGGTGAAGGGGGACCTGTAAGGTTCACTGCCACTGGTTTCAGCCACCGTATTTCATAAGTTCTTAGGTACACCTTTTTGCCTCACACACATCTTAAGATCTGTGAATCAGGGTGCATCTTAGAATCAGTGTCATCTTGCACTTACAGCTGGCACTGCTTTTCTCAGCGGTGTGTAAGATACTGAGTCGAGCATCTGGTATTGCAGATTCAGTGAAACACAGTCTTGATTGGGCTTTGTTACTGCCTGAGTTGTAGAGCGTCCTCACAGCAGCCGGCCTTGCCCTTTGTCTTCGTTCGTTTTCTGTATAAAATACTATCAGGTGACCTTTGCCAAAAGCCCTACCTGTTCAATAAATTCTTATTATAGACCAAAAGTCACAGTGATATCCTTACTGCTGACACTCACAGTGTCAAGGTAGTCTGGACTTCTGTCAGGTGGCCTGTGGTTCCTAGATCCACTTCATGTTTCCCAACTATTTCCCCTTCAGTGGCCTTTGGTTTTTTTTGGTTTTATTTTTTAAATTGTAGTTTGTGTAAAAGTTTACAGAGCAAATTGGTTTTCCATTCAGCAATTGGTACACATTTTGTGACATTGATTGCAGTGCCCACAATGTCACAACACTCTTCCCCCTTCTCTCCTGTGTTCGCCACTTCCCTTCATCCTTCTTTCTGTCCCTTCCTGCCTCCTGAGCTTTATCCCTGAGCAAACGCTGCCCTTTTGATCTCATGCTAGTTGGTTGTTCTGAGAAGTGCGTGCCTCTGATGTTATTGTTCACCTTGTAGGCCTGGTTGTCATTTGGCTGAAAGTTGAGCCATAATTTTTGTTTTTTCAGTTTATTGTAGCTTCTTGTTAGTTAACACAGCATCTTCGTCATTTCTTTGTTCGTTGCACTAACCTGCTGCTTCTGAATTCAGTTCCAGGCTGAAAGGTGTCTAAGGGTCATCATCTCGGGGGTTCTGTCAGTCTCTGTCAGAACAATAAGCCTGGTCTGTTTTATGATCTTGAGTTTGGTTCTACCTTTGTCTCCCACTTTATCCAAGATCTTCTCGTATGGTCCTTTCAGAGTGGTTGGGAGTGGTAGCTGGGCACCATCTGGTTCTTCTGGGCTCAGGGTCGTGGCAGCTGACGTTCATGTGTTCCATTAGTCCATTAGTTTCTTTGTGTTTTTTACATATTTCACCCTTCTTTGCTGTGGACGGGGAGAGACCCATAGTTACACTTTAGGTGGCCACCAGTGTGCTTTCTTCTTGACCTCTAGCAAAATGTTGTACACGACGAGCAGATAGGAGAAAACACATGTGGTTGAGTCAGGAAAGGACAGTAGGGATTTATGGGAACCAGTTGGTAAGAGACCAAATTTATATTCTTCCTATGGGATCTTGGGAATTATATGGAATCCCTAGACAGAAAATTAAATTTAAAAGATTGAGAGAGAGACGCAATGAACGCTTAGTGTGTAGTGATTACCGGTTCCTGTGAGGAGTGTTTGAGACAGAAGTGGAGATCAGAACAGAAGTCACGTCTGAAAGACACTCATTAGGAGGGAGGCCCTGGTTGGGAAGTGTTGGGCAGTTCTGGGCAGCTTTGTAACATTAAATTGCTCAGCCTAGTCTTGTTTTTACATGATACGAGATTTCTGTTATTTGACTAGAAGGAAACAGTGCACTTACAGAATTAGAAATGCAGTTACTTCTGTCTGGATCTTAGCTGTTCCTGTTTTTCACTATGGGGAGTGACATCCAACCTGGGACCGAGATGGGGATCATCGTGGAAGAAACACTGTCAGTGAGAGATGTAAGTACGTTTGTGTTTGGGGGCTGTGGAGGGAGGTAGTAACCTGTGTTGGGATTTTGAGGTCCTATGGCTAGGGTTTCCATAATATACTGCAAGGATTTCTGTGTACTTTCTAAAGAAATGATTTTGGAAGCTTGAAAATTCATAAACCAAGTACAGTTTTTGAAATAAGGTTACTGTTGTATTTTTCTTTCCTGATTACCAGTAGTACTGGTTCACTGCAGAGGTTTGGAATGTGCGAGAATGGCTAAAAAGACTTGAAATCCTTATATACCTCCTCCCACCTTTCCCATCATTTTGGCACAGCTTCTGGTATTTCTGACTTAATGGGTGCACTTGCCCACAGGCCACACCGGCCCCTCTGTTGCTCTTCAGACAAGGCCTTCATGCCAGCAGAAAGCACAGTAAAGTCAGACACTCAGTCCTTTGTTGTTTGTTTTCTTACATTATGGAAGACTTGAAGGCTGCAGTTTTGTTTGAGTACAACTTTGGCCCATCCCTATTTTATTTTATTTATTTATTTATTTATTT